ATCCGAAACTGTGAATTTTTGATAATACTAAGCATCTGTAGGAGTAGTATCTATAGACACAGTTATTTTTCCTGCTGCATCGATTTCAAATTATAAATAGTTATAACATTACTGGTGGCTGAGATAACATTAAAATGTCCTAGTCTAAAAATTACGATGATATTAATTTAACGTTTCATTTCACAAAACTACATAGAATAGAATAAACTTCATGACACCAGAAATCACTTTGTCAAAAAGTTTTTTCGTGTATAGTTTTCCAAATTCTGTGTAAGCTTTCCACTCTCCCACTAAATCTAGTAATGGGATTGGTCACCGGCACGTGTCTACCGTTATAAATCAAGGTTTTGTACCAACATCTTAGCTACATATTGTTTATTCCTCTCTACATTTTATTTTGAACTTTTGTTATTAATATTTTTTTTTAATATCAAATAAATTACTTAAAAATTGATCACTGTAAAGTGTAATCTTCTTCGTCTGGTGTCTTCACAATACCCTAATTTTACAATAACCATGTAACGTTACAGAATTTGGTAAACTATATCTTAAAATCTCAAATCATTCAATAAGTAATTTTATCAGTGTTCTGTTTCTCCTATGAACGATTGTTCATATACCTACGATTATTCATATTCTGAGTCACCTCTATAATGATAAATGAACGCTTACTGTCTTAAATTACTTCAACCCGACAGGTTTCTTTGTCGATATATTTTATAACTTATACTCACAACATGTTTTGTAATAAAGTTGTCTTAAGAATTTTATAGATTTATTCTGGTGATTCGTCTTTCTTAATACAAGCAATATACATCCTTCGAGTCTTATTGTTAGTATTATTTGTAATTAATTTACTAGATTAACTAACCTGGGATATTGTTTTAATCGGAGATATGATTTAAATGATTCAATAATAATAATATTATTCATCATTATCGTAAAAAATTATTGTTCCGTCTGCGTATAATATGGCATCAACTCTGTGATCAGCGCCGGGGTAGGTCATTTATGAACCCTAGAAAAAGGAAAGCTAAAAAATCACTCTATGAAGTATTTTTATAAGTGTAATATAAATAAATTGCTCATGCCTTGGCTTATGCATAAGTGAACACTGGCTGACTAAAACAGAGTGTGAAAATATATAACTTTGATACTGCATCATTCTCCGTAAGATCGAACTCAGTCCATGGAGGAGTAATGTAATTTATAAGGAATGGTGTACACTACAAACCACTACATTGGATTAATGAGTTATCCCAAGAAGTCGACTGCAAATTAGTAGGTGTTTACATTAGGGACCTTAATGTGATTGTCATAATGGTATATTGGAAAATTTGACACTTTTATGTTCACAATAAATGAACTTCTGAAAACAGTTCAATGCTATTCCTACAGTGTAATAACTGCTGCACATTTTAATGCCCATATTCATTCTAATAATAATATAGAAACGCTAATTTATTTTGCGATCTCCTTAAATAAGAAATAAGCAACGACTGACAATGTTTTTAGTAATAGTCCAGATATTCCTGTTGACGTTACTCCTCTTGAAGCAAATTAGGCTCATCATGTAAAATTCTTGTAAAAAGTTTCAACTTGGAGAATCCAAAGTTGACAAACACATTATCTGAAAGACCGATTGCAAGACACGAAAATATTATATCCCATATTTTTTTCAGTATCAAAAGCTTAGTGTGTAATCCAATCAGTGGCATACCAACAATTTAAAAAAGTGAAAGGAACATATTATGTATTTAGACGAAATAAATATTTCGATTTAATGTATTTGTTGGGCAGTTATACTTACATGTGGAATACTATGGGAAAAAAAGGAAAACTGCATTTAAAGAAATATATTCCAAAACAAAACAATTACAGCCAAAAGTTGTAATATTTTATTTGACTCTTCAAATACTTCTTGGTTTCAAACATTATTTTAAATCATAATCTACAATAAACTAATATCATAAACTCACATGCTAAAAATTTCAGTACACCTTTAGTGCAGGTACTAGAGTGTGCTAAAAACCAAAAAACGCAGTTCTAAAAAAAGGAACTTTCTTTTATTCTTTCCTATGAAAAATGCAACCAATCTCTGCAGGCAACATTTTAAAAACTGCAATAGCACTTTCTAGAAAACGCAAATAAGTACAGAGCGAAAAACTTGCAAAGGTTTTAAGCCTATTTTTAGACATCAGAAATGTAAAATTTTTACCCCAGATAAGAAAATCTCTTGTACGGAACCAAAATTTGCAAAATGCGGTAAAACGTATTCGAAATGTTTTTAATGAAGTAAGCGTCGAAATCCTGAGCAATGTACGAAGAAGTTTTCATGAACGGATTGAAAAATGTCTCAAAGTGGGTGGGTGATTTTAATGTTTTAGTAATTTATTAAAGTTCTCAAGTTTTCTCATTATATGCATTTTTTATATGTAAAATGTTACTAATAATAATTCATTTTAATTCACAATTCAAAACTTTCTATTGATTCCTCAAACCATGAAGATCGTCCATGTTTAAAGTTGAACAAACTGGAACAAACTAATGCTCTCTTATGCAGTCTTATGGTCGTTGTGTTTTGTTAGATATTACACAAAGGATGTTTATTTTATGCTTATAGTCATTACTCTATTTTAGCGACGATTTTTGTGATGGTAAAACGTTATTTTATCAATTGTTATGTTATTATTTTTACTAATACTTCAGTCATTTTGCATTACCGTGGAAACCTGAATGCAAACAAGATTGTGTATTCGTTGATTCAAGGATAACAATAATTAATTAAAACCATTATAAGACAAGTTTCTTAATAAATTTTAGAAAGATAAAATAAAGTACAATCTCTTAGTTCTTTATGATATTTATAAATTAATCATTGTTAAGTTATTTATTTCACGAACTCGTTTTCTAGTTCTCTAGATACAGATTATTTTAAATTCTCTTTCATATTTTTCTTCCGATTTGGTGGGGTTGGAAGTAAGCTGGCGTTTGCTTTTAACGATTCTAAAACTACTTCGTCAAGCACCATTACATTTGTTTGACACCCGTTTATTTAAAAGAAAAAAATACTCTCGCATAAGAAATTGACACAATCATAGAATAGTAAAAAATCGTTGCTAAACTCAATCCACAGTTCACTATTACAAAAGTTCCCCTGTCGCAGTAAAAAAAAATTGAAATTTTTAATTAAAAAAAACTAAAGAAGTATAAAATAAAATTATGTATTCCACTCGAAGGCGAACGAAAATTTACCCACTCATGAAATTACCCAACTACTTATTTCGCTTCGCTCGCGCTCGTTAGGTAAACGTTTCTGTCGTTGATAAATTTTCTTTTTACCTTCTTGTAGAACAAATAACTATTAGTGAACAAAGCGCAAAAAATGCTTTAAGAAAATACACCGTGCTCAACAAATACTGTTTGAGTTGGCAATAAAATTAACCATTCCTGACAAATTTTTCTTGAGTTGCTATTTCCGAACCTGATTCAAATGCTTGGTGCTATGCTACTTTTAAGTGCTTAAGAAAGTTAGGTTATGACATCTTAATAATAATCGATAACAAATTCTGATTTAAATTAAATGTCACAGTTAACCAAATCAATTTTACAACAGGAAGTAAGATGGAGTGGCAGTTACAGCAATTTCACGCAAAATTTATTAATACCAACTGAAACAGTAATTGTTGATTACTTTGTATTATTTTACAAAAATAAATAAAACATATTAGGACTGATAAATATTAATTTCTGCATTGTTTTTTTCTCAATTTTATAGTAAAATAAAAGTTCAGGTAAATAAAAAAAAGTATTTTTGTTATGTTTAAAAATTATGCGAGGTGTCTCCTTTTAGCTAACGCATACTGCATACTAACAAACGTTTCAATATGTCTTTAACTTCTCACGTTTTACATTTTCATTTCGATCATTATATGTTGATGTGACCGGCGCCTCCGCCACAATGAAATTATTCATGGTTTATTGGTAACACTATTTTGTACTTTGTATTATAGTCTAGCCTTTACTGCAAGTTATTTATTTACAATTATTTGTGCGAGTTTCGACAGCATAGTTATAATATTATGTCTCGCCAGTAATATTAACCTCGGCAATAAAACCGGTTATTTCTTTTATCCGATTTTAGTGGTGTCAGTGATGGCAATAACAAATCGCTCAGGTATGCTTGACATATTTTAAATTACATTTGTCTGCAGGAGGTATAATTGATTTTTACGTAATTCAGCGCAATTATGATGCCCCTCCGAATCAGGTACATATATATTTGCACTTAAACGATCATTTTATGCAATTACATTCAACTAATACAGTTGTCCTAAATTTTTCATGAATGTAATTTATTAATTGTATTTGAACGCTCACAGTTAAATATTAATAAAACAATTATTATCAGTTCTTACTTTGTAAAGTAACCTAACAAAATAAAATATTGTCTGTTGGTTTCTGACTTATAGTGTATTTTTTTATTAAAAACGTTTACTCTTGCTCGCAAAAAATGTGAAATCGTTTTAATTTTTACATAAACTAAAACACAATCATTTAAATAAACAAAAGTTTGTTCTACTTACATTAAACCTTAAAACATTCGGATAGAAAACGTAGTAATATACGAAATAAATAAAAAAGGGGATAGAAGGTACATAGTATGACAAAAAATAAGACTGCTATATAACAAACATACATATATTAACCCAACAAAGGATAAAAGTGATAGTTCTTCTTTCAAAGTCATTGTACCATTTGTCATATGGTTACCGTGTAACATTAATTTTTACCTCATATTCATGCATGCTATTTAAACCATTCATAAGTTCACTCTTGCTAGCACCTTTGAGAAACACCGTATTTTTTTTTAGATATGATGTATTAACTTGATAGAACACTTTATGCTCATATTAAAAACTTTAATTAAGTCATTTATATTTGAAATATTTTTTTTTAATTATTTACAAATCATCTATCATTAAATCTGTAAATTGCAGGTCTGGTTTCAGAACCGAAGAGCCAAATACCGAAAACAGGAAAAGCAGTTACAGAAAGCGTTGGCCCCTAGCGTACTCCCTGGATGCAACGGCGCCATGATGCGGAACATCTACCCGGGGGCGGCGCGAGGCTATCAGCCCTACCCACATCCCACGGCCATCAACAGATACCCTCAGGTTAGCATAAACCATCATTTCCTCACACGAAACAAATTACGCGCGAAAGAAAAACCGGGAGATATTTTGTCGTTTGGGCAACTGTCGGTGGCGGCATCTTAATTCGCCGCCGACCTTGAATTATGGAAACGGTGCCAGGAGTGTGTGATTAGCCGATGCAGGTAAATTAATTAAGTGAGGTCAAACAGGTTAGATGATTAGTTTAGCAAAGACCGCATTTCCTCCGTGTAGCCGAGCGACGGTAGTCGTATACGCCACACAGACCGACGGCGGCGGCGCTCACAAGCGACGGCCCACTCATCAAATAATATGCAAATAAATTTCCCCTGCAAATTAGATACGGCTCGGCCGGATTAAGACCGGAGAAATGCCGCTGTCTGCACGCAAAACCATTCGTGTTATGGGCCGATTCACAAAAGGCCCATCCGGCGGTACCTGAGGGCCCGTGGAAAAGGAGTTTCACCAAAACGCAAACCTGCATAAGCAAATTTTGTTTTAATTCGAGTAACTTCTATAAGGCAATATTTAGATAAGAGTCTTACCAACTATTTTAGCAAAAATAGTTTATCAAATTTTCGATCGATTTATATTCCATTTAATAAAAACTAAGTACAGATTTAGGATTATTTCTAGTAAAATGACTTTATGAACACTCAATATTGTCCAAATTCGCAACTCCTTTTATAAAGTTTATTTTGTTATTTTATAATGCTTTGGAAAAAAATTGTATCCCTGAAAAATATTAGCAAATTATAATGGATCTGGACGGAAATACGTAATTAGTTTAATTTATTAAACATAACAAAAAACTGAAAAAAATAAATGGATTAAAGGAAAATATTTCAGTACCAAATGAGCCCAAAGGTTCGTTAAGGGAGGGGGCGGAAAGTTGGAGGTTTAATCTGCTCTTTCTCTATTTGTAAAAATACATAAAAACCCAATTCATTAAATTATTTGATCAAACACCTCCTAATAAAACGTTATAGGTATAATGATTTTAAATATATAAAGTGGCGGATTAGTCAACTGAATTTTATATACATAATATGTATCACTCTCTGCTGCCATGTAGAGTTTCGCTGTTGTAATAATATCAGCTTCTCCATTTATATACCAGCAGAGTTGTTGAAAAACATTTCAGCTTTACACAGAATACCACTAAACTTCAAGCAGATTTAGAAAAATAGAAAAGATGGAATTATATATATATATTTACCTAAGGTACTCAACTAAGCTAAACAGACAGTGCATTTTCCTTTCTCGTAATTTATACCTAGGGTACAATGTACAATGTAAAATATTTTTTATTAACCTCAGGAACACACATTGTCTGTGACGATCATGAACGTTTATCGAGAATCGTTCCATAATGATTGTAAAACTTAGTCCATCACAACGGAAGCCCCTGATATGTCCATTATTAATGCGACAATTTGGAAATAAATTTTCGTCCAAAATAAGTGTTCGATTTCTAAAAATTTTCATTTTTTTTTTTTAATAATGGGAATAATGTATTTTTTAATAAAGAATTATTATTATTACAACATATATGACACCCTATAATAAGTTCTAACATACTATTGTATTTTCCTTGCAATTAATCAAAACACATATCCTCATATATCATATTAACCAATATCTTTTCTCAAATTTCACGTATTTGTTCCGTTGGTCTGAATCATATAACGTTCACAAAAAGAAGCTTTTTAGAAGCCAAATTTTTCAGTTTTCGTTGAAATCGAATATCTTGTAGCTTCAGATTGTATGACTCCGCGCCTAATCTTTCCGTTTACCCTTACTTCAAAAATAAACTGGTAGATACCCTGACAAAGGCTTTTTTCTTTGAATTGGAGCAACTATAAATACAATCGGTATAAATTCGTTTAGAAACAAAGAAGTATTAAACACTAAAAACGTGGTACACTAAACCTCTTCATCTTTAAAAATACAGGTAATATTTAGCTAAACACAGAAGTCGGACGCTTATTTTGAGATAGAGGAGGTACTTAACAACTTAACGCTTTATTTAAAAATTTCTCCACGTGTTCTTTTTCCAAAGTCCTAATAGGCTAGTCAAATCTTACTTCACTTTCTAGATAGAAAATTAGTTTTATATTTTGACACCTCAAGAAATACAGGGTTATTCAGCTAAGATGACCCATTTGTGTTTTTAAAATAGACAACCCATAATACCGATTCCACTTGAGCCTGGATTACAAAAAATGTTTCAAAACTAAATTGTATCAAAGTTTGCTTATAAATGTATAGAAACGTCAGTGTCAGAAAAATGCCTATGCATTCTTACGATAATAACCAGAAAACTGATATGTTTGCCGAATCTAAAAGAGATTTTTGTAGGCAAATTGGGTTTTTTTATTGCCTGGTAGGTGAACGAAACACATTCAATAAATTTAAGACTGTCATGCAACTGTAATAAATTGCTGACTTTGGCTTCATCACTGAAGAAAACATACTCAATAAAATTGGGATTAATTTGCAATTGGTTTCTTATAAAGTTATAAAAATCCAATCTTTGTGGTTGGTTTGTGGGTCGAAGTGCATGCTCCAGGTGCAGATGGTTAGAGCGGTTAGGATGAAATTTATTTATTTGTCTAGCAATAGCAATTTGTCCCATAACTCCCTCCCATATGAGGATTCTCATTAACTTGTGCAAGCAGTTATACTTCATTTTCCAAGCTAGTCGCAATCTGGTTCCGTTTCCTCTTGTTAGCAGGCCACTTTCTTACGCAACGAATTTTCTAGCCTCTTGAAAATTTTGGGTGTTGGGGCCACACGGTCAGGGTATCTTCGGACATACAATTGTGCTGTACGCCTAGCCTTTTTGTGTCATTCTACATAACGTGTCCATAACCAAGGATCATGTCGGTTTTCTCGTTATTGAATGCATAGGCGTTTTTCTGACACTGACCAACGTCAACACTGACGTTTCTATACATTTAGCAAACTTTGATACAATTTAATTTTGAAACATTTTTTGTAATCCAGATTCAGGTGGAATCGGTATTTTGTGTTGCCTATTTTAAAAACATAAATAGGTCATCTTAGCTGAATAACCCTGTATATACACTTAAAGCGCTTTTTCCCATTTTTCAAAAAAATTTTGGGAATATGAAACAAAATACTCCTACATATTTCTCGGGTGCTTTATTTGTACAAGACACGCACCTATAACATAAAGAATTGTAAAACCTACAATGTTACGGGACAAAAAACCACTCCCTATCAAATAAATTATTGAGAATATTCCTGAAAGTAACATTCTGCAGGTGGACCTAAGAATTCTACACCAGTTGTACACATCTTGGCTAACTTTACCGACATTTGCTATAAATCGGCGATAAGATGATACATCTCTGCATTTGTTTTAACAAACGACTGTTCAATGTTCACAGTCCAAACAATTATCTACAACACTTAGGAACTTTAAAAAAGCACATAACGTCCGTATGACATGGTCTAGTACGTTTAGAGTCGTCATAATAATAAATTTGTCGCTTTTGTTTTCACCTTTCCAATAATGTACTTCGTAGATACTATTTCAATATGTACCACTTCTTCAAAAGCAACCAACTAAAAGAAGCAACTAAAGGAATAGATACAAAAAAAATTGGTCGAAGATTATTTCGACAGAACTTCCCTCGCCCATAAAGTACAGCTTGTGAAATCCAGCTCTTTGGAAAAATTAAAAGTTTTGATTTTGCAAATTGTATTGCTTTTTGTGGCAACCATTATAAGCTAAATATATATCTAATGTTTGAGTAAAGGTAAAGAAACGTGCTAACCATTTTTACAAATGAGTTTTTCTATTAAAAAATTTTGTGTTGATGTCATCCACATTTATGTAAAGACGCATAGATCAGTTTGGATAGATGATAGATACATTGTAATACTAATAATAAAAGTATTGTATTATTGTTATTCTTGAACAGTGATTTATAATAACTGAAAATATTTATGGTACTTGTAATTTAAGACAAATAGCGATAACACTTATCAACCTGTAGACGTGATAGTGAAACAGAAACTAAACTAAAACATGTTTTCTAGGAATTGCAATAACCGGATCACAATGCCGACGGTCCAGACTTTTCATTGCTCTGTCTGTTATTTTATCGTATAAATAAATAATATTCGTTGGTAAAGTACAGTGCTATGTAAAATATATAATATTATAATAATGTAAACAAGTAAAATATTACGCTTGAAGTACACTCAAAATACATACGTCATGCGATTTAATTTTGTAAAATATGTAATTAAACTTATTAAAATTCCAAATTTCCATGTATTGTTGGAATTTCAGAATATATTATGTAATAGAATTCATTTTATTTCACAGATGACCACGAGTTCGTATCCCGGAATGGCTCAGTCCTTTTCGATGTCTCACGGTACAAATATGACTACTGTGGCAGGAATGAGGCAAGACGCAATGAGTAAGTAAAATCTAAAACAGTAGAATATGTGTACCCACAACGAACACAATTAAAAATACTATTACAATCTTTTCATTTCTTTTAAATTTGCTCTCTAATTTATTTCTGCCATGTACACACCTCATTACAGTTTAAAGAAAACGAGGTTTTCAAATAAATTTGTCATAAAGAGTATGTAAAAAGTCATATCGATTTCCGTATTAAGACCCACCGACTAACACAAAATTGGAGTTGCATTAAAACCTTTTTGCTCCCTGACCAAAATTTCATCTAGAATCGGAAATGAAACATCTTCGAGACGCCGTCCGTAATCTTAGTGCATCTGAACGGAAACGACGCTATTTCCTGCGAATCTGAGCTTTTTAAAGCTCTCCTTATTTGAGAGCAGCTCACATTGCTGGCATTACGTATCAGACGTCTTACCTATTCCATCGTTTTTCAATATTTTTGCATTTTACAGGTATGAGCGCCGAGGACGAATGGTACAATAAAAGTTTATCCGCCCTAAGAATGAACACAACGCATCATCCGAATTTAGCAGCACCAATGTTACAATACCAAACGTAATAACGGAACCAGTGAACTAGACACTGCACTCGAATCGATGAAATGTATTAATCAAACACTGGCAAAATTAAATTATTGCGTTGATTTCATCACAAAAACACACGTAACAAAGTTTTATTCGTTATGAAATTTATTTGAGCGAACAACGAGCCAATATGATAATAAAATATGGCTTCTAATCTAGTCGACTTAAGTTCCTTGATCTCCTGAACCGATGATGGACCGATGTTTTCGAAACGTTCGTGGGAAGTCCCTTGTTTGTAAATTTTGTGTGTTAGTGAGATTTACAACCGTGAAGATTGAGTTTATCGAATGATATTCGCACATTCCAGCATCACAGTTTTAAATAAGATCGGATTTGTTAAGTTTATTTCAATGTATATATTTTTAAGCTTATTGTTATTGTCTTCTGCAGTACGACAGGTTGCAAAATATCTTAAAATAAATTTGATCTGAATGGTTGCAATTATTTTATACATGTATTCAGATATTTCGATACTCTTTACTAATTGTATGTCATAGAGTTCAAAATTACACAAGTTTTGATATTTAAGACAAGCATAACAAAACTTATGTAAAAACAGATATTGTAGCTATATCATTACATGTGCCATATTTATTGTAATTGCATTTTGTGTGATTGTACCTACTTTAGAATAAAAAATAACTGTATGTAAAATTGTAAATACTAATAATAAATATTGTAATTAAGAATTATTTATTTATTTATTAGGAGTTACTGAAACAAGTCACTTTGCAATATTTCTTTTGTGATAAGTTGATAACCTTTATATAGTAAAAATCAGCGGCATAAATACCACCCCTGCGGCCACTGCGCCCCGGGGGCGCAAATTCCAAAGGGTCGCCCAGGAGCGAATCTGGAATCATAGGGACCTAATTCTATTATTTATTTGGGACCCCTTTTTTCCTATTATGAACAGAAGTTGGTCGCCATCGGCGGCAATACTTTGTTAAAGTAACTATGTAGTGTGCTGTTACTTTTGTCTAATAATCTAGAAATACTGAAAACTCGTACCTACATAACAGTTAAAAGAAACTGCTGCAAAGAATGAGCTGTGCTCAAAGCAGTTGTGGACGAATTGAATAACCTACATTAAGTTGATTTCGTTGATTTAATTTAAAAAAACTTAATTTTTGTTGTTTATTTAAACAGGTGTTTATACATCTGTAATTTTAATTGCATAATTAGTTATATAAAATAAAGCAAACATTTTTATTCATTTGACATTTTTTTAGAAAATCACTAATTTTTTTTTTTTCATTCACTACAATTGGTTTCAAAAAAACGGGACAAATGACAGTGACATAAACGTCATATTCCAATTTCTTTTCATTGATTTATGAGAACCTGATTTACTCATCTTGTCCTGTTTTTTGTGAAACCAATTGTATCTACAGGTGCTCAAAAAATGGCGCACCAATTCAACGATACATTATTAAATTCGCTGGCGTTCACTTACAAAAACCAAATATCGATTTAGATAAGAACATCAAAAAACGTGAATAATTAGCCACTGTCGTCATATATATTTATATCCTAAATAATTTTTAAGTTTTATGTAAAATTATAAAATGAAAAAAACTATGGATAAAGACAAGATATTATTTACCTTCAAAATTATTTTGAATAGTGAAAGTTCGATCGATTTCAGATAGCCAACATGAAGTAGTGAATTAAAATATTGTGAAACTTCGAAAAGAAAAATTAAACTTTTACGGGTTATATCTTCTACATTTGGACAAAAGGATTTTTTCTCTGCTCCGTAATCCGTAAATGGTTCCGAGCGTAACCGAAGGAAGTATTGTAGTCGAGTACGTCGGCCGACCCTCTACTTTTACGTTTTCTCGACCCTTCATGACCCCTAAAGTACGAAGAAATAAGTCTCCCGTTTCCGTCTGTCTCTCCGTCTGACTGTTCGTCTGTCTGTCGGCCGTCCCGGATATTTATTAGACAGATAATCTCTAAGTACTGAGCCAAGATTGTTGTCAAATTTTGTACGTACAATCGATAGACATACAACGAAAATTTTCCTAACGTATATCAAATTTTGTATTTATATTAGAAATATCATGGAGATGGTAAAACGCTAACCAAAACTTGTCTAATCATCCCCACCAATAATGTCATGACATCACTTCAAAATTGCACATAATAAATGGGTTTTAAATTGGATGAAATAACATAGTCCTACACATGTAGTTTACTACTCCGCATAAAAATCAAAATTATAAAACAACATTTTGCAATTTAATTTTGAATCTGCAAAACCGAATGCTTTGAAATCTTGCAGATGTTTTAAAGTATGGTAAGCATGATAAATTTTTAATCAAAATATATTTACTTATCCCCTCCAAAAAATTGATGACGCCAGCTCAAAATTTTGCCGTAGAAATCCTATCTAAGTTGTACAAAATATGATGAGTTTGTACTTGCAATGTATCATTCCATTCATATTTTTTAGATTTGCATATACAGGGTGATTCAAAAAAATTAATGAATGCGTGAATTTGTTTTATTGATTTAATCAAGAACCACAAAACCGAATGCTTTGAAATCTTGGAGATGTTTTAAAGTTATCATAAGCATGGTACTTAAATTTTTGATCAACATGTATTTGCTCATCCCCCCTAAAAAATTGATGACGTCACCTCAAAATTTTGCTAAATAAACCCTATCTTAAATGTGCAAAGTATGATGATTTAATAACACTGCATTAATATTTTTTAGATTTGCTTATACGGGGTGCCTCAAAAAAATTAATGACTGAGTCGATTTATTTTATTAATTAAATCAAGAATTGCAAAACTGAATATGCATTTTGAAATCTTGCAGATCTTTTGAAGTTATTGTAAGCATGTCAACTTTTTAATCAAAATGTACCTATCCCTATCTGTTTATCAACCCCAACAAATTGATTACGTCATCTCAAAAATTTGCCGAATAAATCCTGGCGAAAATGTGTAAAATATGATTAGACTATACCTGTAATTTGTCATTGCATTCATATGCAGTAAAAGGCAATTAAAGACAGACTTTTAAGTTTACATTATCTTGTAGCCCCCTTCTAAGTATTTAGGAACATCCTTTTTATTAAAGATTAAAAGATTTGCGTCTGCAGATAATTATCGGTGGACTAATATTTACGATACATGTACACGAGCCAATAAAATATTTTGAAATCTCCCACCAATGTAAATTTTTGTTTAAAAGTTGTTGCAGTTGACACCGAAGTTTTATTTGTAGCTAGAGTGGAATGAAATTAGGCGTAAAAGAATCTACTTTTCAATTTTTGGTAAAATATGTAACATGTTGCCCCACAACAATTCCATTTAGTGCCGCAGTAGAAAGGATGTTTAGTGTTGGCGCGGATGTTTTTAAGACAAAACGTCATGCCTTAGCTGACGAAAATTTTGAATGTCAGTTATGGTCAGTTATTATTCAATTTAATTTAAATTATGAATATAGTGCTCTTGCGTGAAGTACTTATTTGTTTTATTTTATTTCCTGATGTGAATATGTAACAAATGCGTTAGTAAAATAAATCACTCACTGCCTTTTTCATTCTAACACGTTTTTTCTTGACCCTTTGGACCCATGCAACAAATATTTCGACTTTCTTGATTTCTCGATGAAAACATTATCAGCAAAGAAATTTAAATGAGACATAATTTGTGGAACGTTTGTTTCCTAAAAATTCACTGCTCACTAAGCTAATTAATTCCCAAGTAAATTTTTCCATATCATATCATTCAAATAGGCGTAGAACAATTGATCCTTCATTCGAATTTCAGGCCCAATGAAAATTCATAAATATAGAAAACGTACATAATATGAAAACTGAAATTCACTGTAATATTTTAGTTTTTACCTTGGTTTATGTTAGCAGCAGAAAACTTAGGAAATATTGTTTTCAGATGTTGAAGTGCTTTCTCTCTTGTATTTCACTTGCATAAGAAGCACATATGCTTGGTATATCCAGATTGGAAACCAGTTACTTAAGCTATAATTTTTAAATCGCCTGTCAAATTGCACTCAAACTTTTTGTCGTTAATACAATTTAACAAATGTTGAATATTCTCATATGTTTCTGGAATTTTGTATGGAGTATGCAGTCGGCATTACTAGATATTTATTCCCATTATGCAATAGTACACCTTTAACTGGCACTATCTATGAACAATCTCAAAAAAAAACTTTTTTGACGACGTAGGCATAATGTCTTATTAGATAGTTATTCAGCACAAAATGATCTTTCAGAATGCTTGGAACAAGAAATTTTTCTAAAATTGTTCGACTGTGTAATTAATGAAATATCGAGTAGAGCGTGGCTTAATAATGACTCATCTTGTAAGGTAAATGTCCCAATTATCGACACCTTAAGCATTTTTTTTACTTTAATATTTGGATACAAAAGGTTTGGTATGAGTTACGTCTATATGTATAATTTGGCATATAAGTAGTTGCATTTAACGTTAATTCAAATATGTATTAAAAGTGCTTCCTTTTCAATATATGCTTCTATTGAATTTAAAAATATATATATTTGCGCAAAGTATAGATTGTCCCAATTATCGACACTTGGAAAATGTGTTTGTCCCAGTTACCGACACTAAAGCTGCCTATTATCGACACCCATGTAAGTTCAATGTTTATACTTAATGATAATTTATAAAAATATCTAAATAATTAAAAATTTATAAAAACCACAAAAAAATACTAGCAACTTAACATTTAAACTCTGAAATTTCACAAATATAATACATATAAACCTTAAAACCTTTCTTATTTTTTAATATTGGCTTTTTTATTTTTTTTTCAATTTCTGGTTTCTGATACACTAAAATGTCTTTCTTAGCAGGCCTCTTCGAATTTAGTACTTTCTTCTCCATATGGTCAACATCATAGGTATTTTCTCCCTTGTCACCAGTATTGATTTTGATGATTTTCCTTGGTAAACGATGTTCCTTATATTGTACGATACATAATCGTTAACAAAAATTTCTAGTAAGTCTTAATTATTTTTACTTCCTATTGTAGAGTCTGAATTGTTGTTACTATCTAGTCGCTTTGTTTTTTTTCTCATTACCTTTTCATTTTTTCTTGCTGTCTACGTATACGCTCTAGTTTTCTTTTTTCTTTTTCTTTGGTTTCTTTTTCTTTTTTCTCTTCCCTTTCTTGTGATATTCGTGCACAGCATTGGAAGACGCAACAGCGGGTACTTTTTTTTGACAACTTTCTCTTTGGGTTCTAGCTAAAATAGAGATGTTTTAAAAGGAAAAGAAATAATATCAGCACTGCTAGTTTGCTTTCTGATGCACTCTGGAATTAAATTAAACAATTAAAGACTATTCTTTGATCTCATTAAATCAATTTCTTATTTGTCCCTCTGTCATACGGTTACGTGCAGAAGTAAAATTTTGCGGAACTCTACTGCTTACTTCTGGGTGTCGTTTTAAAAATGCTCCGTACCAATGGCGACCGGGTCTTCCGTTAGTAAATATATTTGGTCTTTTAAATTTTTTAACAGTATTTACACCCAATCCAGAAACTGGTCTTTGGTTGGGGGAAATCCACATTTTCCCACATGAAGTATCCATTCCACCAGTCTTTTTTTCCTCGGCTACAGTTACGACAGCCTCCCACTTTTCTTTGTAAAGGCGATGTTCCTTTGATCTTTTCGATAATTGTCGTTCTAGGCACGCCATACACTTTACTCGCCCGATAAGTAGGCATGTCATTTTTGATAGCTTGCATTGCTTTCAACACTACTTCTTCAGAATATTGAAATCTTTTTGATTTTTCCATCTTAGGTTCTGAAAATAATGTTTACACCATTTATCGACTTGAATATGTACCTATTATCAACAACTGAATTCAAGCGGTAATTTTTCCTCAGGTATACTTAGTTGGAAAACAATGTGTCGACTACTGGTCCTCGCGTGAAACACATTTTTTCCTTCTATAGTATTAAACAAATACAGACAAAATGAGAAGAAGAACAATTTTTCTAATGTACCAATTATTATCGACACTTATGTGGATAAATGGGACATAGTATTAAAATTGCTGTCCCAATAATAGACACATTAGATATAATTGTTTTACCTTAAAAAATTATGTTAATTAGTGTCTAGCTAAACGTTAAATTGTTCGTTTTCCATATACCCATCATTCAACCAATGGATAATTTGGATTAAAAAACATATAAACGCAATCTTTGTACTTACCTAACTCTTAACGTTTGGCCTTAGCAAATGCTACCCACGACCTTGTTATACGAGCCCTAACAACTAAATATTGGGACACCAAAAAATTTTTATAAAAAAATCACCAAACTTTTTAACAAAAATGTAATTTATTTTAAATAATTAAAATTTTAAAATTAATTCGTTTTGCAAAACTGTTAATGTTTACACCACAACAAAAACTGATTTCTAACTCAAACAGTGACATAAAACTCTAAAACAACGTAACATTTTGTGACACATAAATATTGGGACACAGCAAATTCAGTAACTGGTCATATCTCCTTTTGCCTTAATAACTGCAGGAATTCTTGCCATCATACTTTCAACTAATTTTCTACAATACACAGGAGTTGTTACCGTATCCTACACTCGCTAAATTTCCTGTTGAAGATTGACAATCGCTTGTCACGGATGATTTCCTAAATATTTTTTTATTTCACGCCATACCGTCTCTATTAGATTAGGATCTGGGCTATTCGATAATCAGGGCAAACATTTATATTATTATTCTTTGTAATAAGTGTTGTAGGTGTGTAACTTGAAGCATCATCCTGTTGAAAAATAGAAATATCAACAGGATAGACTGCTTCAGTAGTTGTTAATATTTTTTTACAAAGTCTCTTGATATTTGTTTGAATTTGTAATTTCCCTTCCATGAACGTTGTTAACTGGTCTTTAAATTCCGTTAATAGACATGCACCCCCAAACCATTTTTCCGCTTGCAAACTTGACTCTTTGTTTGAGATAATCCATATTAAAATTCCTTTTTTATTTCGATAACTCTTTTTCGACGATTATCTCACCCAGACATCAAATTTGGACTCAGCGTTATACATCACTTTTCTCCGATTTTTATTTTGGTCATATTAACCGATTTTTCTTGTGGGCAGTTTTTAATTGTGGTTTTACTTTAGCCGAAAATAATATAAATATTTAAATAATAAAGTCCATCAAAGATAGCTTTATTTAAGATTTACAATGTAAAAACCAAGGCCTGATTTGTGTATGCATTCGCGATAATATTGTCTTGAAAAATTTAGTTGGTTATCGCTATTCCAGCAAGCAGCAAGTAGTAATTTCTCTCGAAGTACTCCGTCGTCCACTTTTATAAATTTTCATCAGTTGTTGTTGATCACGCGGCTTCACAAGTGGTGGCCTACTGGGAATTTTACCTTTTATTCCGATGGTACCTCTGTCTGCGTAATATTTTACGACATTTACCATCGACGACTAAGCTATTTGGAACAAATCTTCACTTTTTCTTAGCGATTTTCCCTTGAGGTACTGCGAAATTATTATTTTCAGAACTTTTACTAAAACTAGCCCGCCGCTAACTATTTTTTTCTAAATAAAACCAACACTAGCATGCAATTCTACGGTCCCTATAATAATGGCAACATTTACCAGCTACTACGTTTGTATTTCGATGGTATACTTAGCAAATTTTCTCGGGTGTCCCAACATTTAAATGTCAGTGTAATGTACTCGTAATTTGTCATATTTTTCCATTAAACACTATTGCCTTTCTCTTCTTATAGGTGTTGGGTATTTTCCTTGTATTCATTAAAATATCGTCAAATGTATTAGTTTTAGGCGTCTTGTTCCCTTCACCTCATTAACTAAGTATTATAAGAACTTGAAAAACCAAATGTAAACTAGAGCCGTTAAGAACGTCGCGCGAATGATATTCAGTCGCTGTATTTGTGGAAAACTACAAAATAAAGAAAAACCATCAGTAGTGCAAAGTGTAGATTAATTGTCCCTAGCCAACCCATTACATCAGCAAAAATTGCACATTTTTTAGTTAGGTGACAATTTCTGCGCTCTAAGAAAATTTATTTATTTGCAAAATACCTCACGCTCTGCCAAAATAGATGCCCATGCAAAATTTGCATTTAGTCCAAACGAATTGAATGATATCAAAAATATCTACCGGATTTTTTTGAGAAATTGTCTGTGTCCCAATATTTAGTTGTGAGGGCTCGTATACTAGTAGTGATCATTTCAAAAAATTTTTACGAAGATTGTATCAACCTTACCGACCTAATATTTGAAATATAAAAAGTAGAAACCTGTCTTTAATTGTGTTTGCATGAATTGTAGTATTCTACTCTCACAAAAGCTAATTCTAACAAAAACTTAAAAAAAAACTGTCTTTAATTGGGTCATTGTTGATAACTGGGACATTTACCTTATATGTATTTTCCAGAGTGAATAATTTAAACATCGTCATTAATAACAACAATACAGATTTATACATCTACAAAATAAAGAAAGATTTTATATAAGCTGCATTGATTTGGAGACGGATTCACTGGCGGCGTAAATCCGACAGATAAATCTCCAATGTTGCGATTACTCTCATAATTTTTTACTGTTTAACTCAATCATGATCACCTCAATTATGATACTATCTACAGTCCATAAAACTGCCTCTTTATTAGACAGCCCAATAAAAATTGTGTTTTGGACTGCAGTGGTGCCAGCCATTCTGTAGGAACTTAGTGATGATGTAAATACAAATTTTGCTTAATTTAGACTCCAGCTCAACTTGCCTTTGACGCAATGTTTTGGATTTATCCTCGGGAACCGCTAGGAGTTCAGTTGAACTCATTTCTTATGGAAATCGGTGAAGATTCAACAAAATTTTACGATTTAACTAGCTAATTCACAATTCATCTGACTGCGATAACGGTAACACCTACTAAAATTTATTAATCATTTTCAAACGAGTTAGTCCAAATATCTGAAAGTAAGACACAGCACAGATGACAAAGTAATAATAACCAATTTAAACTCAACACACATTTTATTGTACTACAACATATAAGTCTTTTTGTGCACCTATAAAGTTACTGCATCATCTTAAGAGCCACTGAGTATTTTTTCCAAACAAATAAATTAATTAATTTTCTTCAGTATTACTTGTTTTACGATTTTTCAGTATGCTGGCGATGAAAAATTCACCAGCTTTATAGGAACTTCGTACTAATGGACCGCTAGCAACATACAAAAATTTCATATCATTCCCAACTCTTTCCCAATGCTGAAATTTTTCAGGTGTTACATACTCAGTAACCATCATATGTCTTTTTGTAGGTTGTATATATTGCCCCAGAGTGACACAATCAACTCCTGCCGCTTTTAAATCTTCCAAAGTTTGATGAATTTCTTGATCTGTTTCACCGAGACCAAGCATAATGGATGATTTTGTAATCATGTCTGGGTTGAAAGTCTTAACTGCTTCTAAAGTTGCCAAAGACTGCCTGTTAACAGTTTAAACTTACATATATTAATAAAAAGCTATAAGATAAATTATTTACCTATATTTAGCTCGCCTATCCCTTACAAACGGTGTTAGTTCCTCAACAGTTTCAATGTTATGTGCATACACATCTAGACCAGATTCGACTATTGTTTTGACAGCATTGCGGTCACCTCGAAAATCAGGTACTAGGCACTCCACCAACATCTCACTCTTTCTAGTCAAACAAAAATCCTTTGTATTCTTATTCTATTCTATAATAATAATAATAATAATAATCAATGTATACTGACCTTTTCTTTATTTCTTTAACAGTTTCAGCAAAATGATTTGACCCTCCATCTGGTAAATCTATAAAATATGTAATTACAAAGTAGAAACAAATAATCATAACAAATTACCATCACGATCCACTGAAGTCAGTACAATATAGTCTAATCCCCATGAAGCAATAGCTGTAGCAGTATTTACAGGTTCATTAGGATCTGGTGGTGGAGGAGCTCTCGAAGTTTTAACAGAACAAAACCTACATCCTCTTGTACACGTGTCCCCTAACAACTAGACCATAACAAAATGACAAACAGATCTACAGCACATTGTAAAAATGAGTTACCATAATAGTTGCTGTCGCTGTTCCATGCTTGCCCCCACCCCAACACTCCCCAATGTTAGGACATCGCGCTTCCTCGCAAACTGTATGTAATTTTAGTTCCCGCAACTGTTCTTTAAGTTCACTAAATTTCTTTCCTTTAGGTATCGAAGTCTTTAACCAAGGAGGTAACCTTAATCTTGAATCACCTTCAGATGTTCTCTTTAACCGACCGTTGTACTCGTTCCATGCTTTCGAATCATCCTCTAAAACTGGGTCAGGACTGTTAATGAAGTCCTGAAGACTTGGGCCACTAATAATGCGTTTTCTTAGGGCTTCTAAGTGAGATTTGTGAGATAACCTATAACACTACCAGAAATTCAGAAATATAAGCAAACAACTTTACTTGACAACTTACATTCTTATTTACTGTGGAACCACTTAAAAGATGCTTGAGTCCATACATTTTCTTAAAATTTAGTGCACACACTAGGGGTTGAAAGGTCACATTGATAGTGTTCTTATATAAATTTACTGTTACTTGAACTGAAAATTCGTGTCGATGTTCGTTTGAAAATTGTTTTAAAAATTATTCTCTTGTTTTCGTTACTTTTATTTTGATGACTGATTTCCTTTCATACTGAAAGTGTTATGTGTACAGGTTATAGGTTTCAATTCATTGACGTATGTTTCAACTGAAAGTAAGCAACCATCAATACATCTAGCTATATGAAATTTTTTATTAACTACTAATTTATTCGAAAATTAACATCCTTGTGTAAACAAATCTGTTCCTGTTTGTTCAGCTTTAATCCTGGCTTCTTCTGAAGTCATAAGTTCTTCTGGAGATGGCTCCACAGGTGAACCATCATCATTTAATTTTTCTTCTTGGAAATCTTTTGCTATTTTTGGTGCATAAACTACATTAAATAAATCTTGTGCTGTAAACTCTGACTGAATAACATCAGGTGTTCTGTATGACACATATGGTTTTAGCTAAAATATCGAATAAGCTTTCTTATTAATTACTATATTCAATACTTACTGGAAAATCTTTCAAATCAGGTACGATTATTTCAGGGACTTTTTCTGGTATTAAGACAAATTTACCGTCTTGGTCATTATATCCAATGTCTCTTACACCACGCTCTACAGTCACACATTCAGTATTTCAAAAGAAAAAATATATATATTTACATACTATCATGGGGTAAATCATAATTCGGATCTTTTCGTTGTTCCTTAAATATTTTAGATCCACGTTTGTTAAAAAGGGGAAATTTTCTAAAATTGCGTTTGCCGTATCTGGCACACGATGTAGAAATGCCTCGCTTGAAAAATAAGTTTACACAAGACATCTTGAACTTTTTGAGGTTAGGATGAGGCGATGAGGTTAGGGATTAAAATGTCAAACAGTTGGTAAACCAAGACAAGAGGAGCAAAGACAAACAACGAAAAACAGGAAATGAAATTTACGCGCTAAATTTAAAATCATCAAATAATTATTGCTGTTAATTGTTATTACAACTTAAGTTAACTTTTTATTATAGTGCAGATTTAAATTCTCATCGATATGGGATAACTGGTGAAGGTTTTTGGGTAATAAAAAAATTTAATTTTCAAGGTCGTAAATTTCGAAACGTAATATCCACAGCGCCACGGTAGTTTTTGGAATTAACGGAAGCTAAACTACGGTTCTTCGAATACGATATTTTAGTCGCTTTGTAGTTTGAGTAAGCTGTGGTGTTGCTGAATCATAGACTCAAATTTTTACTTATATTTAATTTTATATTATTTATATGCAGTGATAGGTAGAAGAAATAAACATGGTTCTAGCTGAAAAAAACAATGAAAACGCAAGAAACGGCCGGAGAAGCCGGGGGCCGAGCCCGAACGGTCACGTCCAAGACTCCACAAGCGAGGATGAAAGTTCAGGTTAGCATTATTCCCTTTAAATTCGAAAGATTTCAGTTGTCTTATTTTACCACCACGAATGCACCCACTTCAGCCTACTAGCTTAAAAATGAGTGTTGTATTTGAAAATTTTCAAGTGATTCATAATGATAGTCTGGCATTACTCAATTCCTTCCTTTATAGTTCCAGTAGATAAGATACGAGTTGGCCGAGATTACCAGGCTATTTGCCCCGAGCTTCAACCGGAATCTCAAAGAAAACCAGAACTGTTGGCCGATAGAGCCTTACTTGTATGGTCACCAACTGAGTCCATACCAGAATCGAAATGTATGTTACCCTCAGTACCCCTATTGAAAAAAAATTATTTTTAACAATTACAGTGGAAGACTACATAATTTTGGCCAAAGACAAGTATGGTTACAATGGCGAGCAAGCGTTAGGAATGTTGTTTTGGCATAAACATGACTTAGATAGGGCTGTGCTAGATTTAGCAAACTTCACACCGTTCCCTGATGAATGGTCTGTGGAAGATAAAGTTCTTTTTGAGCAAGCCTTCCAGTTCCACGGGAAAAGTTTTCACAGAATAAGGCAGATGGTAATGACGTCTCTTTTTCTTTTTTTGTTACTAATTGGAGTTTCAGTTGCCAGATAAAAGCATTGCTAGTTTAGTCAAATATTACTATAGCTGGAAAAAAACCAGGTCAAGAACCAGCCTAATGGACAAACAGGCACGTAAGTTGCACACTCCAAAGGAGGAAGGAGGGGCTTCAGAAGCTGGATCTGAAGGAGGGTCGAATGAAGAGTCTGATCATGATGAAAAGGTAGGCACTGTTTAATGTTGTAGTGTATTGGACTCTGTTAGACTTTTATTTTGCATGATTATTGAGTGGTTTGTGTTTTAAGCTATGGTATGTTAAATCTTAAAGTATGCCTTGATGATTCTAGCTGTTGTATGGCTCTAATAGTTATTCAACAGTTAATATGAAGGGTTGCACACATATATGCTAAAAATGATTGTAATTAAGTTGTTCATTCCATGAGCCTTAATGTTCCAAAATGTGTTTGCTAGAGTATGGTTCAGAAAAACGTCATTAAAAGGCGATACAAATTACGTAATTGTTATCTGCCATGCTTACTAGGAATCTGGCTGAACTAAAGCTTTTTGGGCTAAGAATTTGTGGTAATTATGTTAACACTTCCTCATACTCACTGTATTAAAGATTCGTTTTTAGCGCTAAGTAAAATAAACATAGATTCCTTTATTATTAAAAATTCATATTGAATAATGTAATTATTTAAAAAAATTTTAAAAAAATACAATACAGTTGAAGCTTACAAATTTGCGTAGTTTCAATTGCTCACACATTATCAAAACGTGCCTAAGTCATGAATCAACCATTCGGCACGTTTTTGTAGTCATTATTTTTTATTTATTAGTACGTGAAGAAAAATGATATAAAATGTACATTTAAAGTGCGAGAATGCATATACATACAAAATATCTTTGTCACCTCTTACAAGTAGTAAACGTTTAGTAAAAAGACATTGTTGCAATGTTTTCCCGCCTAGTCATTAGTCGATATTAATAAAGCATTTGCACGTCAATAAAGAGTAAATTGTAAAGTTCCATTATTGAGACCCATAAATAGCACTGAGTAATGCTTTAAAAGAAAAAAAAAATCCAAAAATATGAATAATATTTCTAAACAACAAATACAAATGAAAATAAATTGTAATATCAAAAAAAAAATAATAAAAATTCTCAAAATCATAACTTGGGGCTGTATATAAAGTGCACACATTTCAAATAAATTGTTCGGACAGTGATTAACGTTAAAGTTAATAAAGCCTTATTAAATCTATATTGATTACAAAATTGGAGCGGAAATTATTTTTACTTAGTATAATAATAACTATATTTTATTATCAACAATGCTACATCACATATCAAAATAATAGTAAGTGGTCTGTTGGATAATAATGCTACTACTATTATTATAAAAACAGCACAATAATAATATACTCAGAAAACAAATCTTAATACAACAGAATATTGCAAATTAATTAATTTATCACAATTGCAACCACTTGCATAAGAAATGAATTATACAACAGAAAATAAAAAAATCCTGTTGAAATGTGCCATAGATTGATCTTGGCATTTCAAAGTTGATCGGAAATTTATACAATTTTTGTTTTTTTAATAATAAAAAATTACTGCATATCACATAACATTTTCGCCAAAATTCGTGCGGAAACAAGTTTTTTAACACGATCGAAATAACCGCGGCTTTAGAAACATAATTGAAATAATAATTTCCTTATTGAATTATAGGCAACTTACATGACAACAATGTTTCAAGTTTTATTAAAACAGAATTGTAACCTCTTATGTTTATGTTGCTCTAAAAAGGAAACATGTTTCCAAAAAGTTTGCAAAAATGTATAATTAGATCACCTATTCATTTATGAAATCCTTAATTGGAGTTTATTTTGTAAATTCTTTATCATATAATTTTTTCACGTAGAGGTTATAGTTATAGTTAGTTCCTTTTTATTTATACACAAATTATACAAAGACAAATAATTTATTCTTTCCTTATAAAAATATATAATAACATTTTGCAATTTAATTTTGAAACTGCAACACCGAATGCTCTGAAATCTTGCAAACGTTTTACGATTATCGTAATCATGGCAAATCACTAATCAAAATTTTGGCAAATGAATCCTCTGAAACCTGCAAAATATTTGATTTTATACTTATAAATTATCAATACAGTCATAGTTTTTAGAGTTACTTATACAGGTGACTCAAAAAAATTAATGATTGAGGCAGTTTAGTGTAGTGACTAAAGTAAGAACGATTCACTTTTCTTGCCGAAAATTTGGGAATACAGTACCGTTAGTATTACAGTCCATCTATCCAAATTAATATACGTGCCCTTGGAAAAGTGTTGATGACCTCAACCTTTACTTTAACACTACATACATATCTTTATTTTGACTTCCAAAGGTTATTACAAAAAAATGAAAATACTTCTTCATGGACGAGGGAAATTCTGTCCAAATAACCTTCGACTAATGTTTTTAAGTAAACTTTGCCGTTTGATTTTGATAATTTAGAACATGTACGTTAAAAGCAAAAACAAGCAAATTCAAAACAGAATCTCGTTGTGTTGTCTACATGAATAATGTTCCCTATACATCAGTTTTAATATGATAGTATCTGACATTACTTCAATGTTGTTACAACATGATAGTATGAAATGTCTAAGATGCTTTTGAAATTATATATATCTAGGTGCGTCTTGAATTTTTTAGGCACTGTTTCTCACGAATAATAATGTATGTAATAATAATTATATTATTTATATAATTAATAAATAAATAATAGTAATACTAAATAATACATATATACAGAATGTATCTGTTCGTTTCAAGATTTTGCGAAATAAACTTCATTTGAAATGATAATAGCATGCTTCCTTCGATGTTTGTGTTTTCTTTATACGTTTTGTTTTTGGAACTGTTTATGTAAAATGTCTAAAACAAAATGTTTGTGTGAATTATTGATTCTTATGAGATTAGTGAGTGATACATTGTAGCCATCCAAATCGATATATTGGTCCCTTGTAAAAAGTTACGTCATACAAAAGTGTATTAAGAAAAACTTGAGCATATTGTGCTTGTTTATCTGTAATCTCATAATCTATCTCTATTTTTTCTATTTTTATAGTTTTTGCCGAAGATTCGCATTTTAGTAAAACTCAATTTTCTCGTCTGCCTTTTCATGAGCAATATATTTACAGTACTAACATTGTATACCGGGACAATTTTTAAACTCTCAACATAAGAAAGTAAGTATGGGTTTAATCCATGTCGAGTTTTAAAAAATGCACATCAATGCATTTAAAGCATGCAATCAAAATATATTTTATTTTGTAGAACAATTGGAATGAAGATGTTGCGTTTTCTTCTGAAAATAACATATTTAACTTCTTTTCTTTAGTTAAAACAGCATTGGTTCTGTTTCTTTAGTGGTGTTTATACTCTAACTCATCGAGTATTCTTTACATTTTTGTAAAATATTTTACAATATTTCACAATATTTCAAACAAACAAACAAATTGACATTTGATTTTTTTCGTAAGTCAAGTAGGTTGGCGTATCATTGATTCCATACTTCCAATGTATTGATGTGTGTTTTAAATCCAACACTTAGCCCACGCTTCTTTATATATGTTTAGAGTTAAAAAAATGTCCCGATGTATATGTAAGTATTGTTACACGAATGAGGATTGCTTGTGGTATAATAAAATCTTACTTTAAATCCAGTCATTTACCATATAAAAAAAAAATAGAATTGTAGTGCAACAAGTTTTTTTCCCCTTTTAACTGTAACTTTACAGGTTTGATATAATTGTGATTTTTAACCTAGCGGACGAATCTTTTAATTCTTAAATATTTTTTTATTAGTTAAAATAGAATCTTCTAAAAAAAGTTTCATGACAATATACACTTGCTATTGCAACAGTTATAAATGAGGTATGCAATGTTGTTGCTTATAGAGTTATTTTCGTCATTTTTTGTACCCATTGTGAATGCAACTTTTTTGTCATTAAAACTGTATACGCTCAGTTTACATTGCCAATGCTACACAATACCGGGTGACTATTAATGATTGAAGCAATTTTGCAACAACAACAAAGTTGTTAATTTTGACATGTAGACATACTTAAATTTTGTATTTAATTTTTGATAATAAAGGATATTAGATTTTGTTGTGAAAACACTTAATGAAATTATATTACATTGTAAACATGAGTATGAGAAAGTGCAGACGATACTATGGTGGACCCGGGCGCTGGCGTAGACTGTTCTGAGCAATAGTACATTCCGTTGTCCGAATACAAGAGTAAGATTCACGTCAGAAACCAAAAGCAATAAATGTACACCAACGAGAGAGTAAATCGGGGGTTGGTATAGTTGTAATGGATTATCTTGCAGAAATGGACTATACATCGTGGCATTCGTCGTAAAAGCGGTTCACCAAGTCGTACGGGTCAACCTCCCGACGAGAACGCTACTCAGGTAGTGAACCCTCAATAGATATTGCACGCCAATCAGCCTAGCAATACAATCGCAAAACGAAGTTCATTTCATATGTGACGGCTTAACTGTATCATGCATAAACATTTCCGTTTCATATCATCGTAACATTTCCGAATTGGTGGTCTCGTATCTTGCCCTATTCAGTTAAAATAGCGACAGGGTATCACCATCACGTCGACTAACCCCGACTGTGTTGCCCCTAAGCATGTGTTTCTGCTGCAGTGTGCGTTGGCTAACGTTTATTTATTCTCCATCCATTACATGCATACATACACGCATATAGTTTAAAAATGTATTTTATAGAGAGAGAGGGCGATCATTTGAGTGATCCCCCATCGGATGTATCACACTGGGTGTTCGTTTTTTTCTCTTCTATTTATTTTTTTTCATATTGGGATATGGTCGGTATGATTGTTGTATGTGTGCAGGGTGAGGGTGGCGCGTGCTCTAACTGCGGAGTCGCCTGTACCGTCACTCACGTGACGTCCAAGGGGTCCCTCTGTAATTCCTGCTATCAACACTGGAGGTACGTATCAACCCCAATATAACATTATCCAGAGCTGTTTTGCACGAGCCGTGGGTTTTCTCGGGGTGTTAATGCTGTTACTATTCTTACACTACGTTGCATAGTGTTTTATGTACCTGTTAGTTAGTTTGCATGGTAGGAATCGTCAGTGATACTTTGCGAGAATACGCCATGCCGAACCAATGGGACAAATCGCTGAATGTTTAACCAGACTGGACCAAATCATAAATTATCATTGAGCATAAAAATGAATTCTCGTTTATTGAATTATTCGGTGTGGTGGTTGTTACGTTATTAGTGAATGTGTGACATATCTTATTTCAGGTTTATATATTTGAGAACTTCTAAATTGAATGGTATAAACTCAAAAAGACATTCTAAGGCAAAAACATTGCGCCTACAATCAACATACATCAAAATTATAGTCTTTTAGTTTTGGGTAGTTCCTTAATTTTTGTCTGTTAAATAAAATCGTCGCTTTAATCTGGCAACCCCGTTATGACAATGATACTCTTCACTGATCACTCTTTTTAATTTTATAAAATTTGAATTCTTATTAAGTATACGTTTTGTAAATGTTTGACGAAAATATATTTCAAACAATTTGAATACTATGAAATTCATAAATAAATCATTCTGTAAATTATAAAACTGGTAGACTGCAACTAAATTCTAGAGCCATCAACAAAAATGTTCGCACATTTCTTACATCAATTTTAGTTAAAGCGTGTCTGATAAGTAACCGCACTAAACAAAAAAAATAATATTTTGAACCGAGAACAACAATAATTAAAACAAATTTAGTGCTTAAGTTTTCCTTGAAACAGGGAACATGTTACAGCAACAAACTAAATATCAACACCAAATTTTGCCATTTTGTTTAACATTTTAGTACCGTACGTTATTAATTGATTGTCCAGGTCCCCATTCTATAATATTTCCAACACCAATTTCTCCTTGTATTTAGTAATTTTTGACATTGTCTTGTGTTGTGAATATTTGTCTTTACAAATAGTCCAGCATTGTTCACTAGATCGTCATTGGCGCAAACTGGTCCTAAAATGTTAAATAAAATAGAATAGAGAAAACTAAACTTCAATACCAAATTGTGCTACTTCATTTAACACACGTTAGTCAATGCTCATTTGCTGCTTTGACAGTAATTTTTGTCCATGGCTTACGTTCGGTAAAATTCTACCAGTTTACCTCAAGCTCATTCAGTTCAGAAAATAATGCTGACATCTTCAAAACAAACTGAGGAGAATTAAAAACGACATAAGCTTATATATTTTTTCAAAATTAAAACTTTAAAATGAAACGTCTTTCTGCTTCATTGTTTTAATATTCATTAATATGGAAATGATTCTGATTTCATTACTTAAACTGTTTTTGCAATTTGAATTATTACAACAACAATTCATTAAAAAAATTAGTTGAAATCGGAGATGGTTTCTTTTAAATTGGATTAAAAAATTGATACTTCTATTGTCAATGCCCAATTAGACTCAAACCATTGCGATTTAACAAACATTCGTGCATGTATCTTTTTCTCTGCTATATTTTTCTTCTAGTACCAATTTTTAAATAGTGTATACTTTTTTACTGTAGTATATAACGGACAATTTTGTTTAAAGTCAGTTTTTTGTCGTAGATAAAAACATTTTCGTTTTCTTTTTTATTTATTTTTTTTATTAGCTGCTGTTGTGTTGCAGCTAAATATTTTTAGGAGCAAAAATTTTCTCAATGTTGCAAAACCTATTGATATCAAATTGGAAAGTACTTTTAAAACATTCGAATTGATTATTATGTACTCGTTCGAACATTGTCACGAATTTTTAAATAATAAAAACATATAGCAGTATTGTCCAAAAAGAAACCCAAAATTGTGTTACAAAGTTCTGTAAATTGGTCAAATACTTCGTGGTGTAACTCTAAGTTATTGATTAAAATGTAATGCCATTGTTGTGTAGTTAACAGTCATTAAAAACTGCGTAGATCTAGAATAACAATCAACTAAAAAAATAAATAATTAAGAATATTTAGCGACGAAATCAGTCACACAACTATATAATCATTAGAATGCTTTTAAGGTATTTGCCTGCAAATGAGTTCTTAAAAATTTTGTTCTTGTTTCTGCGTTCAAAATGTAAAATATTTTTCCTTACATTAAATTTTCATATGATTGTACAACCACCATCCTCTAAAATTGATACACTAAGCCGTTCCTTAACGTGTAACAATATTTGGATAGGTGATTAGTGCTGTAATTTTATTCATTTTTTTTTTCTGTGGCCAGAAGGTGAAAGTCCAGCTTTTAATATACTTGAGAGTTGTGACACATTTTTAATGTATAGAAATAAAAAAAAAAATCTTATCAGTAAGCATTAAAAGTAATGATTTTAATTATGTTAACAGTAATAATTGTCACTAATTTAAAATTTACGCAGTATAAATATAACGCCCGCTTTGTGATCAGTGGAAAAATAATGTGAACTCTTAAATCTACTAGACACCAAAATGTAAATATATTTTTCATTATTCTAAGCGTTTTTTAAATGTGATTTTGAAGTTGAAATGAAATAATAGCATATCTGGTAATTCAATATTAAAATCTCGAAACTTTTATGGGCGATAATTTTTATATAACTCACTTTGAGCTCTTACCTTTTTTATAAAGTGCATTCACGAGTAAACCACGGCTTCCTTCTTGTCGTTTGGCGACACGCAAAATCATTGCATACCTTTGGTTTTTCTATTCCTCAGACAACGTTTCTGATAATTTAGTACCACCGACCGGTAAGGTTACGTTGATTTTGCGCTATCAGTTCCGAATGACTCTACACGCATTTCTATGTCCACTAATAACTCGTGCATTGAGCATACATAAATATGGTCGTCCTTTTCGCATACTGGTTGCTTTTGCTGAAAATGAGTGACCACAACGTATAATTTGGCATGTATAGACGAACGACATTTTTGCGACCTGTATCAGGGCCGACGCGACGGATGGCAAGCGTGAAGTATGTATGCATTGACTGTGGATCACAAGATATGACAAGAGAGCTTGTGGAAAGTGTATGGAGAAAATGTTCGAGTGAAACGTTATTGAAGCAATGAAGGGACAGTGTAAAAAACCTGTAAATAATGCGAGAATGGCAGGATTGTATCGAGAAAAGATTAAAACAAAGATGCCTACGTAGTCCAAGTCTATTCTTCCACATTTTAAGCGACGTTGAAAAAATGTGTGCGCATGTTGGTGTTTACAGATAACCTAGTAATCTAGCGAAGGATGAAAGACAATAAATAGTGATAAAAAACTTTCAAAGGTAACTTGTGATCAAAAAGAAACAGGAAAACTGGCTATGCTTTTGTAACTTTGGTTAATATTTTTTCTCTGAATTTGATGTTGAGACTTGCTTGGTATAAATGCTGTGTCACGAAGTAAATGTCGCAAGTAATTTTAAAAGCTAATACCCACTTGAGCAAGAAAAACGCAAGAAGGTGAGAAGACTAAAAAAAATATTACCAGTACATTAAAATCGCATATGAAAAAAGACATGTAGTAAAATTGAAACAAGTAATCTAGCTAAATCTGATTATATGAGAGAGAAAATTTAATTACGAGTGAGACATATAATGTTGATGTGTAAAGCTGGAATAGACACGCGGAGATTGGGTGAGTGCAAAAAAATAACTGAAGTGAATGATTTGATTTAAATCGAAAATGCCAGGTTATGTAGTCAAAGAAAAACTCCATAAAACCATAAACTACCTTCCAGTAATTAGCTTCTAGCGCTAATATTGTATTGCTTGCCGTTGTATACGATTCGTGTTGTATTCTTTGCACTGTTTTGTATACTAATGAAATTTGAGTATCGTTTAGATTAACAATGCTCAAATAATTTTCGTTGTAAAAATCGCCAATCGGCGCCAGACGGCTTGTGCCGCCTTGAAATGTACGTAAAATCCAGTTCTGTTCAGGAAAAGAAAAGACTGTAATATAGGCTGAGGTAATACAATTTTCTAATATTGAAATACAAACTAGAACACAGACAATAAGTTAATTCTGTATCATTATACATGAACCTCACAGATCTTTCACTTTAATTCGTTTCATAGCAGAACCAATACTACCCTGTTCAACGTTTGGCGACGGCCAAGCTTCAGCCGAGGGTCTATAATTTCTGGTTTTACGTATTAGGGGTTGCAGGCCTTTTTAAGTTTTGAATTGTAAAATTTTTATATACGGAAATAGTGTGCATACAATAAAAACCTTACTTGTTACATGCCTATTTGAAAACATTTAGAACTACAACTTGTACAAAGAAGGAACAATCACAGTGTATGGAGTTCCTTAGCCATTATTATGGATTGTACGAAATATATTAAAGAGTAAACTGAAATGTGTAGAGGAGTGGACGGTACTGTGTCAAATCTTGGATTTGTAGAAAACTAGATGGAAAACATTATAGAAAGAAAGACAGTTACGAGAGAATGGCAATATGCTTGAACGTAAATTGAAAAAAAAAAGAAATTTGAATAAGTATAATCGAGCATGTGTGACAGGGATATAGCAAGCAAAAGATGATAACAAATTTAGACATGGGTATAAGGTGGATGAAATTTCGGCTGAATGTAAAAAGTTACGCAAATTGTACACATACAAAAGACCGTCGGCGAGGTGGTGTAGGTACGGGTGGAAAGAGAACTGCATGTTTGAAAGAGACGACGAAATATCGGGAAGAGAGGGTTCAGGGGAGGGTTCAAATTTTATAGGATTATAAATTGTTTTAATAGGTAGCAAGAATTTATTTCATCAGGTGGTCATAAATAGACCGTCGAATACATCTTTAAAATGTGCTCGTGAATTTACAGTTAAATATTGGCATGTTTGATAGTGGAATTTGTTAAGGCCTCAAAACGTTTTGTAATACCACAATTTTTGCAACCTACTTTGAACCCTTACAACTTCTTCATGAATGCATCCACGAGTAAACCACGGCTTCCTCCTGTCGTTTGGTGGCGCGCAAAATGAATGTGCACCTCCGGTTCTTATTTTTGAGATCGTTTCTGACTGTTTAAGACGACCATCAGGGCCACATTGATCTTGCGCTGTCCACCCCACACGCATTTCTGTGCCCATTACAGACCCGTGTATTGAGCATACATAAATGTGGTCCTCCTTTTCGCTTACTAGTTGCCTTAGCTGAAAATGAGTGATCATCAGTTTGACCATAACGTGTAATATTGGCATGTACAGACGAACGGGATTGTTGCGGCCCACATCGGGGCCGACGGGCGGCAAGCGCGGCTCCCCGCTGGGCGGACGCCACAAGCGCAAGCCCCCTCGCGGCATGTACATCAACCACGACGATCTGGCTGCGATGGCGTCGGGCAACGCGGGGGTGCTCATGCTTAAGGCGATGGATCGAGAGTTAGATTCCCTCCAAAGACAAGTGAGTACCTGCTCCACACACCAAAAAATCCAGTAACACAGAAAACATCAACACGTCCCATTTGCTTTTGTGTTCGAGTTGTGCCTGCTGTCGGTACTGTACTGCTGCCTGCTTGCATTGCAAATGCCAGATTTCGTCTGTGGTTGATTGAGTCGGAGTCGCGATGTATGTATCAATGCATGGTTGGTTGTGGGGTGGGGTATTGCCAGACAACAGCTTGCATGTGTATTGTCGAGAGGGTTCACTATGGAAACTATAAAGTGGCATCCTTATTATTTGTCGATGTTTATTATCAGTTGGACGTTGGACCACGGTTGTATTTGAATGATGAAAGGATGTATTGACCATCTGGTGTAGCTAAATGCTAATTGTAGACGATGTAAATGCTTCCACTGTCACTTTTTTATTTTTGAAATTGTTACCAGATCTTGTTAGTGGATCGTAATAACTTATCATAAATATTAGAAGAAAGAAAGTGCTCTTAACATTCGTTTAAACCGAAAACTAAAATGACTAACTATGATGTGAGAAGGGTTCTTTTTCAAAATTCCCATTATTTTATTTTTGTGTTTATTTTTTAAACTTGTGAAGCGCTTGTGGTAACCATATGTACTGGTTAAAACCTCTTGTAGGATTAATCTAATAAAAAAACACAGACAAAATAAAAATAATAAAGTGAATTCAGTACGTAATTTATTTTTACGCAACCGTAACCTTTCTCATAAAAATTTTAAGTTAATTATGTTGTAAGTTACTTATTCAGCTAAAGGTGTATGTCACAATTAAGTCGTCACAGTAACATGTGGCCCATGTCGACGTTTGATAATTTTAGTATAAAACTAAAGTTCATTATTAAAAAAAAGTCTTCTAGTAAGCCATGAAGATCATTACTGCTTGCTAAACGACATCTTTTTCTCGATCATATTGTATATATAACCATGATGCTCAAAACTCTGGGTAGAATTGAAAACATTGGTACAGTGTGACCAAAAAAAATTGCCGAAATGCCCATATCATTGAGCGTGTATCAGTTGCTTCATATGGCATGTATTAGCAATTTTTAGAGCAATTTGCTATTTTCCTATTTTGTTTTTAGATAGTATTTTTAAAGTTACAAGACGCGTGCTGTTTTTAGCTCAATAACACCCATTAACTGTGTGGCGTTAAACAGTTCATAGAAAGTCATTTGCCAGATACGTCAATTTAAGATCGTGGCATGCTTTATTTGTTTTATTTTCGATTGCACGAAATATTATAAAGTAATAGGAGTAAATAATTTTGCAAATAAATGTTGCCACCAAAATAATTAATGATAATGCATATATTCATAAATCTAATGCAATGATTTTAAATCATTATTCTCAACATCCAGTTATTTTAAAAAATTTAAAAATAACAAAAGCAAATATTTAACCATATGTTTTACATTTACAATGAATAATACACACCCAAAAAAAAAATATGATAAGTAACACAGAAAAAGGTCACATTTTGATATTCGTTGTATTAAGTACAGTTAATGACAAGAAATTAGAAAAAAAAATCATAATATACTATATCTCTAAATGCTGTAAGCTCGTGTTTGAAGCCAAGGGTAAATTATATTTTTATTTTATACTAACTGTTACAGATAAGCCTTTTCACAAAAAAATATTTATAAACAAATGCTTTAATAGCAACTGTAGATTCATAAGTTTTTTTTCTACCTACTGTTTTGATTTTTCGCAAAAATATGCTATCGCTATCAGTTCTTTTCATTTGTGCTCTGGGTCTTGTTTGCTTCTTTAAATGTTGCAAAAGGGTTATATTTCTTTTAGTAAGCAGAATTTGATTTGTTTGGCAAAATTTGGAGACTCAGTATTTGCAGCATCTTTGACAAAAGGAAAAAAATAGGAATACTGTTACCACTCAAGGCAATAGTGCTTGCAACGATCTTTCAAAGCACACCTGCCAACTGCGACCTGACTGTATAATACGTAATAATAATGAAGTATACGTTAAATTAATATTTTTTTGCTCATACAAAATAAAGTAAAGTATTCACGACGATAAAGAGGCTTAAATACTCGTGAATGATAATAAGCCATCTGTAACTAATATCACTCCTAAATTAACATCTTTCACTCGATAAATTATCGTTTGTCGTCTTTTTTATTATAACTTTATTAATTACATTTTTATGTATAAAGTAGTTTTTTTATTTTCTAACTATTTTAAAAATAAGTTAGTGCATAGGTGTAGCTCATAATTTCATCTTTTTAACCGACGTAAGCTAGGAACGTGCCAACAAAAAACATGAGCCTTTCATTGTTATACTATGTTTAAACTAGCTTTATGCCAAATGATTTTTGGCTACAAATCATGTAACATGTTGAAAGAAAGAAATATAATATTATTAAGAATATATTCAGACAGATTAATGAAATAATTGTTTATTTAATGGAAAAAACGTTCAAAGAAGTTAAAAAAATCTATTTCAAATATTAATTTATATTGCATTTTTAATTTTTTATACTATTGAATCAAGTAAATGTCCCTACGAAAAATTTTGTAGATGAAAAGTAGTACCCAACCACTTTATTCGATAATAATTTTATTCATTTACTGTAATTGCGAAAATCATGCAATCATGCATTGCAGATAATTGGAGAGGTGATTCTTTATTCAAATTTTTATACGTTCATCATATTGTTGTTAGTACCTAATAAACTTTCAACTTTATTCACGAATTATTGTCAGAAATACTAAGTGTGTCATAATTTACTACAAGAATAAATCTATTTTATCAACACCGTAACGATTTGATGACGACAAAGCACATAATGTGAAGAGATTATTCATTCGTTCAATACGCTGCAATTTTTTTTTTTTTACACAAATAGTCTGGATCGCAAAAAATAAGCCGTAATTTCTCTTAAACCTAATACTACGAATAAAACTGACCATTCATTAAAATATATAACTAAAAAATTAAATGTTTAAAAAGAAAGTCGATATTTCTTTGGATGCTTTTGTATAAAATGCTTCTGTTCTTTCAATCAGTCACCTTCTTAATTACGCTCCACCAATGCACGAATTTTAATTTTATATGAAGATCCCATGGACAATGATAGTCGAAAGAGATAAAGTAGAGAAGATACATAGAGTGTGAATTAAGTTTGATACATAACGCTTGGACATACGAATTTGAACAACATAACTTATTTTTTTCTTAATTATTTTACAAAGGAAAAACTTATAAGAAATTAAGAGACGCTTTCAAAACCATTGTGAGTTCTCCTTAATCTTTATTATATATAAAGCTCATTGACGGTTATTACATAAAAGATGTATTCTCATGCCCAATAGAAGCCCATACTATAATCCCCGGAGTCCGCTGCACAGGTCTTTCAACATATAAATGAGGACGGCGTCTTTTTCCACATCCCCTTCGCATGTGCATGCGGCTGTGCATCTCCAAACAGAAGTTAAATTCATCAGTAAATACTATATGCCACTCAAGATTCTAATTCAATGTTAGTCTCCTCTGCACTACTCCAAAAGCTGCTCCCGATGCTGAGGAGTTGATACTAACAAGATAACACGTGAAGCCGAAAGACCGAATTGATTTTGTACTGGAGAAATGGTTCCTTAGTTCCTCAGTTCCTCTTCTGTATCGTTCTTGGTCTTCCCTACTCCATGGTTGATAAAATTGTATAATATAATGGTGGTTTGGTTTTTGTTAAGATTGTTTGCAATTTCTTTAAATGAAAACAAACCTTTCTTCTCGCAAGCCAGCAATTCGACCTCTCTCAAATGCGCTTAATTGACGGTAATTTTCACATAATAATGACAAGGGAAACGATGTTTAAACAAGCAAAGACTGCACGAAGATCTCATATGGCAGCACCACATAAACCAGTTAATGTGACAATTTAATTAAACAATGCTTAGAATTTGATTTAAAATTCTCACTCCTTGCAGTTCTCATAGACAGTAGTTTAAAAACATAATCAGTTGCTTATTACAGCATAGAGTGATACGACTTCTGGAAAAACTGAAGTAAACATTATGAAAATATAGCAAAAATATAAATTTATATGAACTCTTGTGTTTGATGGTATCTAATCATTTATTACCTGTAAAATACTTGTAAGAAAAATTCAACTTATGTCGGAAAAGCTTATTCAAAAGCACAATTTTTAATCGACCAAGTTTCGATCTTTCAAATTTAATAGAAACTCACCTTTCCTCATCACAACACCTAAATCTGTGTAAAATACTACTGAAAATAAAAGTTCAGGCCGTTCTTTACTGTTCTTGCGTATTTATTATTAATTAAACAAACTTGGATGTATAATTGTATTGGCGTAAATATAATTCGTGTATTTAACCTAATCAGTTACAAATTGATTCGGTTCCTGTTGATCGACGATATTTTACGCAGCTTTTTTCTATCGTAGTTTACATGAAAAAAAGTTGGAAAAACACATCACTTACGATCGATTATTGTTTCAGATCCAGCAGAACAAACAGAATATAAGTTCCTTAAAACGTAAGCATTCAGACTCCATAGAAGATCTCCGTCCAAGTAATGAGCATTCGTCACGTATCAACGCACGCTGGACCAACGAGGAGCTGCTCCTAGCCGTCCAAGGCGTTCGTAAGTACGGCAAAGACTTTAAAAGCATCGCCGAAGTTTTGGGTAATAAAACTGAACACCACGTGCGTACGTTCTTTGTAAATTATCGTAAAAGATACAACCTAGACAATGTTCTAAAAGACTGGGAAAAAGATAACGGACCATTACCAGAAGACGGCGACGTTAAAGTCGAATTGGACGATGCCAACAATGATAACGACGTCATTTGTTTATCACCGACCCCAAGTAATAAAAAAGAAATGAAAAATGGAAAAGTAGCACAAGTTAGCAAATGATAATTTTCTCGTCGATTGTTGGATAATTTGATCGTGTTTTAAAGTTTTCAGTTTCGCATTTGTAGTGTACGATTATTCTTTTTTAATAATAAAATTATATATCCAACAGATAAACAATCATTGTAAATACTTTAGATTTAGGAATCACGTTCTTATGAATGAATGTGTATTATTTTGCATTTTAAACAGATTGTTATTTTTACAGTTCTTCGAGATTTCAACACACTATAAAGAATAGTTTTTGCCATTAGCAATTATAGTGTATACACACTCAGTGTTAATAATAATATCGAAAATAAGACTCCTGCAGTTACTGTTCGAAAAGTGATATTGCAGCGAATACTGATAAATATGAATTTAATTACAAAAGTCGTAATTAATTTTCTGATAACAAAGTTGAAAATATTACACATCCTAGGCTAGGCGGTACCATAATGACTTGGATAAAAGCCAGATGTACATTTTATAAATAACACGCATTATTTATATAAAACGGAAAATAGTATAGTTAATACTGTCACGATGAATAAATTATAATAGAAGGTGATAATTTGTAAACTATACTTATTTTTATGTTTTACCTTTTGTTAAGTGTTGTATATTGATTGATTAATCGATTGATTAATGAGAATAGCGGATTTGCATCAAAGACTTTATTTTTTTGTTTATAGGTTGACGTTTGGTTTTTATTATTATGTAAATAGTTTTTATACCAAATTAAATTATAGCGCATCGAGATATTGCATGCTATTTAATACAAAGTGTAAATACATATTTGTAATGTACTGAATATGAATTTACAAATAATTTAAAAAGTTTAGTTATTCCTCGCATGCTTACTCTAAGAATTGTTAATATCTGCTTGAGGATTCCCTGTATATAAATTTTGTATTTGTACTGTTGAGGAGAGACTTTGGTTAACTTTATTTTGAACTGTCCATTCTGATGTAAATAGGGAAGTAGTAAAGAAAGAAAAATTAATTTATAATTATTTATTTCAATTTTTAATGTTTTCATACAATCTTATATTTATAATTGCCAATTGTAAAGTAACTAATTTATCTTATTTCCCATTGTTTTATTGTTTCGCACGTAAGTCATATTAAGTAATGTCATTAGAATAGACTTGATTGTATTAATAATAATAAAGATTTATTCCATACGTTGCATTTCCATCAACCTTCAAAAAAAGCCTTTTTTAGATCATTTCATTGGCACTAACCTATTCATTTCAGTGTTTATGAATGTTAAAAATAATTCGGTGCTGATCTAATCTCTACCACTAGTCTACATCATAACAGTCTTCTAAAAAATTAATTTGGTAGAAATCACTATGACTATCACAAAACTACTGATCTTACTTGATCTTACCCTTACATAATATGGTACCAAAGCAAAGAGGTCCTAGACGATATAATTATGTACAAGTTTATTTTCACATTAAAAGTACATTCATTTAACAATAGCTCACAGAAGATAATTTTCTTCTTTTTTATCTTCTGAAATATAAGTTCTACCACATTTTGCCGATAGTTGTTTGTAGCTTTCACCTTGTAAAAGTCCGATAATTACAACAGTCATATTATCACAACCTAAACCTGCCATCACGCAATCAGGTGCTAGGCAGGTCATCATTAGGCTTTCACAAATCTCCTCAGGTTCCATGCCCGTTGCAATTCGTTCCCTTACATACGCTACGACTTCTTCGTTGCTCATTACATCCCATATACCATCACAGGCGACCACCACGAACTCCCAGTCTGGGGTTAACTCATGCACTTGTACTTCTGGGTAGGCTGCAACAACAAGAAACAGTCAACTTTATTGTCAACAACACTTTCATGAAATTGTAGTAAATATAAACAATTTGTTCAAATATCACTTGTGTGGGTTTAACCTAACCTATTAATACGAGGGTATTTTTGTTCAAACCAGATTTTTCCAGATTCGATAGATGTGTTGTCATACAAGCGGGGATATCCTGAATGAGTTTTCTTTAAAATTGTATTTAACCGCCAAATCAATAAAATGCGCTGTAGAATGGTGTATGTATATTTTTCTATCGTTTAATTTTTGATACGGTGTACAGTTGTCATTCGCTTCTCGAAGTGGTATTGCGGTTTCTTTAGTATTAGAATTGCAAATGTGATCTTTTTAAAGATATCGGTTAATCACAATTCCAGGTGTCAACGTACGGTACGCTATTTTCAGCAATTCTCGTTCTATTAGGTTTACAAAATATCGATCGTTTGATTGCGTGATTTTTACGTCGTCATCGTAAATGTGTCTTCAGATACTACAGGGCATTCGTTACACAAAATGAATACCTCGGAAAGTGGGCAATTTATTTTATAATTTAATTTAATTCTAGCCACCGATCGTTTTTCAAACTATCTAATTTAAATACATACATAGCAACGCAGATAAGACTATTTCATACAAAAGTTACTTCCCCCTAAAACTTTTTCATATATAAACAACTGAAATTCGCAATTCCTGTACATTGCTGCATAAACGATAATATAATTTTATTAAACATACCGCGGGTTAAAAAAAAAAACCTACTTTTGACGTTATTTTTTTCCTAAACGCGTTTAAATAGCATTGCAAGCAATCAATTCAAAATACTATATGCTTTTGTACATCTGCAACAGCAAATAACGTCTAAGTAACAACTTTAAAAATGGCTTATAAAATTCTGAAGCTTAAAAGTTATAGCAATCAAACTGAGTTCAATTTTTAAAAATAAACTGCTGCAAATGCGCAAAAATTCGAGTTAGCTGCATAGACAAAATCGGAAGCTTTGACAAGGCTGTTTGATCCACCTAACACATCGACTTTGTCCTTGATTTTTTGACGAAAGTGTACAATGCACGTGTTTACATTTTTCCAAAAACCAACTTTTTTTAAAAACTTAATGTAATGTGGATGCAAATGTCAATGAAATACATAAAAATCAACCTAGTTAGACTTTCTACAGCGTAAACTAACACAAATCGCGGAAGAAAATTTTAAATTTAACACTACTCATATATTTTAAATGTAGAACTGTAGACAAGAAAGTAGTGAATCGTATATTATCATGTTACAAAAAAGTTTAACCCACTGTTATTACGAGTAGTATCTTAGTATCAGAAACGTCACTTTCCATGATTAATAAACCAATTCAAAAAAATGTTCTTAAATAACGCGATATTTTGACAAAAAAGATGTGCTGGGGACTAATTATATTCATTGAGTAATAAAGAGACCAATGAGTATAACTTTCTAGTGCATGCTTTGCATCAGATTTGGCAACTGCTATTTATTTTGCACATGTCGAGAGTATATTTTTAATAATTTCACTAACAGACAAAAAATCAGATTAGATATCAAGCAGCTAAATTTGGACTACTAGAGGTTTGTGATACGGTTTTTTCGATATCGATGGTCGATATTGTAGTGTAACAAATAAATGTTGTTACATAGCTTCATTTCATCTGAAACAGTATCGTCTAAAATAAATTGTCAAACGGAAATATATATTAAATAATTAATGTACCATCTAAAGTTTTTCAGTAGACATTGATGTTCTAAACTTTGGTTCCTACAATTTTAACAATTTAAAATAAATCTACTTACACTACTAGAATTACCTACTTTTAACTGATTAGTCAATTGAGGAAAATTAAAATTCATCAGTCTTGTTCAGTAAAAAAAAATGTTATTCTATTTGTTCTCCCATTACAGAAGTTCGTAAATAAAGTGAATCTATATCGATATACTGTAAAATATTGAATTCCTGACCAGTTTATCCAATTCATATCCACAATAATGTTTTCAACAGTCTACAATTTCGATACAAGTCGATAGATCAGTTTTTAAAGAAATCCATATTTTTCAACTACTGCATCGAAAGAACATCAATATATCGCCCGCTTCTATCCAGTACACCATAATAATATTAATCAGGGATAGAAAAAATCGAATTAAAAAAAACAATAAAAATCAATAATTAAAAAAAAATCATGATTTGTTTTTCTTAGTTTTTCAATTACATATTTGGAATTAAAACTCTAAAAAAGTAACAAGAACAATCAAAAGTCAGGATTTTTAATTATGTTTACTTAGTTTATGCGACTCCATATCTAATATCATGTCTTAATGGTGTTTGCAAGTTTTGAGCAATAAAGAATTTTTTTTCCATCTTTAGTGGAATATTTTTAATCAATGTTCTCTTATTCCTGTTTTTAAAATAGTAAATCCGTTTAGAGTAATAGACAGACCTTCCCTCGCCCCCGAAGTACAGTCCAACAAATACAGCTTCCTCGAAAAATGATAAAATTTGATTTTGCGATTTCATAATAAAATTATTATTTTAACTTGTGGTTTATGAATCCGTATTCATAAACCACCGTATTAGTCGGATTTATAAATCACAAGTTTAGGATTATGTTAATTTATAAAATTTAAATAGCAATTACTATGCAAAATATTTAGATAACATCACCAAATTGTTGGTTGGGAACTGGGATGATCAGGAAAATTTTGATTATCGTTCTTTCATCCACACGAAATTCCGAAAATACAAATAAAACTTCGTAACTCCAATAATTTTTGTCTAATAAGATCGACACAAACGAGAAATGACGGACAAACAGGCCGAAACGGGGACCTACTTTTTTTACACTCCGAGAGTCATGAAACGTGAGTGCTCAATTTATTTTGATTTAAACTGCATTTAAAAACGCTGTTAGATCCATTATATTTTCGTAATATGAAAATAAAATTTAAAATAATGGTCGAAGGTTATTTCGATAGAAGTTCCCTCGATCCTGAAGTATCATAAAACAAATCCAGCTTTTTCGAAAAATTATAAAATTTGATTATGCGTTTTTTTATGAGAACCCTTATAAGTTCAAATAAAGATATGTATGTAACGTCAAAGTAAATGTAAAGAAGCGTGCTGCACGTACGTTTCAAATGAGTTTTCCCTTCACAAAATGTTGTGATGCCGTGATCAACATTTTTACAAAGACTTTGGATAGGTGCAGTGTAATACTAATGATAACAGTATTGCATTGCCAAATTTTCAGGGATTCTTTCATTAATTTTTTAGAGTCACCTATACCTATAAGTGAATCTAAACAATATGAGTGCGTTGATAAACCACAAGTATGGAGTTATAATATTTCAGAGAGGATTTATTGGATAAAATTTTAAAATGACGTTATCAATTTTGGGCGAGAATAAACGACTAAATTTTGCTTAACAATTTATCATGATTACGATAATCTTAAAATGTTTGCAAGATTTCAGAGCATTTGGCTTTGTAGTTTCAAAATTAAATTACAAAATATCGTTATACAATTAAAACTTTTTTTTTTCAAAAATTTAGATATCTGGTGAAAATTCGACACTGATTTACACACCACAAGTGCAGGAGTATCCGTCATCCCATTGGTGGTGGGGATGATTAACCAAATTTTAGTTAGAGTTTTACCATCTACATGATATTCCGAATATACAATTTATTGTTTATTTTTCTAAAATTTGACAGCAACCGAGCCGGTAGTTTCGGAGATTACGTGTCTAATAAAAATGGATACAGACGACAGACGAACGACAGACACAGGGAACAGAAGACCACTTTTTCGTACTCTAGAGGTCCTGAAACGTCAAGAAAACATAAAAATGGCAAATCGCCCGATGGTCTCGATTACTATACTTCCCTAGTTTACGCTCAGGAAGTAAAAAACAAGAATGACTTCAATCAGTGACTTTTTAACACTTGATTTAAGTAGGGCCATCCTTGATATTCATTATTATTTTACCCATTTGCTCTGCAAGAGCGTACGCTAAGGAAGTATTGTAATCGAGTCCATCGGACGACTGGCTACTTTCAAATTTTCTTGATGGTTCATGACCCTTAAAGTAAGAAAAAATGGATCTCCCGTTTCCGTCTCTCTGTCTATCCGTCGTCTGTGTCGATTTTTGTTAGACAGATACTCTCCGAAACTACCAGACCACTTATGGTCAAATTTTATATGTGTATTATGAATATCATGTAGATGGTAACCAAATTTTGCTTAATCTCCCACCAATATCTCAAAATTGTACATAGTAAATGGGTTTTAAATTGTATAAAATAACGTAGTCCTACACTTGCAGTACTACGAGAGTTCCTGTTGAATTTGTACCCCAAACGTCCACGTTTTTGGGAAAAAATCAAAATTATATAATTAATCTAATCGACCTAAATCTAAAAACGATTTGCCACACTTCCGATAACCATAAACCGTTTGCAACATTTCAGAGCATTCGGTTTTTCAATTTCAAAGTTAAGTAGCAAAATGTTGGTACACAATTTTGATTTTTTTTTACAAAAATCTGCATGTCTAGGGTAATATTTCAAGATGGATATGGCGTATATTATTTTATAAAATTTAAATTTGGTACTTGTATTCGTTAAAATGTGACCATATCGGTTTAATTTTATACTTGACAATGCTTGTTTAGTTAACCATTTGTTGAAAATGTGTATATTTTATTAATAAATTCATGAAACCGATCCCTAATTATTACATAGAGACGATATTGTTTGTTGGTTTCAAGACCGCCCCAAAAATACACCAAAATTAATATTATAAACCAACAATGGATGATAAGAATTATTTTTTAATTAATTTGAATCCAAGTTTGCTTTAAATTTCAAAGATATTTATTTCTATCAAAAATTTGTCAAATGAACAATTTGAAAGAAAATTATAATGCAGCCAAACTTAACTAATGGAACCAATATTTACAAAAATTCATAAGATAAGTGCTCAACATGACTCAGCGCCAATGCTGTAGATGTTCCAACTCTTGCAAATATTTACGAAACAAAATATAATTTACAAGCTTCAGTTATACGATTCTGAAGTTCAAGAATATCGTTAAAAGCTGTTTGATAAACCTTTTCTTTAACAGTTCTCTATAAGAAACTCTCCACTGGTGCGAGATCCGGACTTCGAGCAAGCCAAGGATGAATAGAACCTCATCCTATCCGGTTATCATTAAATTGTTTGCTCAGGTATCTTCTAACAACATGATAACGAACAGAGGCGCCATCACGTTGTACTCAAAAATCTCTCCACAGAGCAAATAGCAAATCTCCCAATTACTGTAAGAATGCATCAGCATTTGGGGTTGTCGCTCAAATGGGTCATAGTTGAATAACCCTGTATTTTAGTAATAGAAAAAAAATGTTTAAAGTTATTTAGACAGAACTTCCCTGGTCTGTGAAATACAGTCGAATAAATACAGCTTCGAAAAATAGTATGTACTCCTAAAATTTAATTTTACGAAATTAATTTTTATGACAACCCCTATAATTTAAAATAAAATACGTGTGGACTGTTAAAAGTACAGGTAAAGAAACATGATATACAGTAGCGTAAAAAACACCCTCGCAACCCCTACACCGGAGTCGACGCACAGTTACCGACAATATTAAATATTTAATATATTAATTTAATCTTAATACAGATAACCAACGGAAAAAATTATTATCACTACATGGTTAATTTCGATTCTTTGTTTATTCATCGAAAGAATACGATCATTAAACACATACAAACCAGGTTAATCAGAATCAGCGGAAGAATTTGAATAATTTTGTCTCCTCAAAAAAGTAGACGCAATGGACAAAATTGTACCCCATGATTGAATCGAACCAGTGACCTTCGCATTGGTAATTCAAGCCTCGCCGCTCTCCATACAACAGTGTTCTTTCTTGTACAATTTGGATGTTTTTGAGAAAATCTGGATGCCTGGGGTAATAAATCAAGGCAGATGATTCATAAACCACAAGTATAGGAGTAAGTTATTTTATAAAATTGGAATATAGTTTACTACAAACATTTTTGAAGGGATGTCATTAAATTGTTGGTGGAGATGATTTGCGAAATTTTGGTTAGCGTTTTTCCATCTACACGATATTCCTAACACATTAAATTTGATAACAATAATAATAATCGGTCGGATAGTTTCGAAGATTGTCTGTCTATAAAAATCGACACAGGCGACAGACAACAGACGGAAACGGGAGACCTAGAGACCTACTTTTTTGTATTCTCGGGAGTCATCAAACGTTGAGAAAGCATGAAAGTAGCAGTCGCACGATGAACCCTAATACAAAACTTCCGTAGCTTACGCTCGGCAAGTAAAAAATTAAAAAAGCCGTGGCTTCTGCGCTAGATGTTTACGCCCTTAACATCTATTTTGGAAAAAATATATATTTATTCTCTTGCGTTGGAGACAAATTGTAAAAATCATTTTTCAAAGATGATTAAAATGTTATTTATCGGTAACTTTGAATTATCTTTTATACATCACTATTGTGAAACGAGCATTCCGTGTATTTTAAAATCCGCAATTTCATTTGTTACAATTACTTTATCTTTTTGAGTGGTCCACTTCTCGCGGAATGACTCGCAAGTTTCTACGGTAATCATTAAAATCGATTTTCCTAGAAAAAAACACCTATCTAAATAAACCATCAATTTTTCTTTTATTGAGCTAAAATAAAACGTGCATTACATCCAGTTTACAATTTTGCACCCTGAGGCGGTTGTCGTCGTTACTTATGAAACGATCCTCAGTTTTTATGTGTTTTGTGTTGCAATTCGTCAAATAGTCAAAGTCGAAAGGGGCATTTATAACATAACCGGAAAAGTAAAAAACCACTAGAAACTGTTACAAATTAGACAATATTGTACTACGTCTTCAAATAACCAATAAATATAAAATAAATGTCCATATTTACTAATAAGCAAGTCTACTTAAAAAAACTAAAACGTGTATTATGACTATTTTTGATTCGAAAATTACTGCACATTTTCACATTGTGTGCATTACTAGAACGCGAATACTCCTTATATAGAAATATATATAACTTGTTAAAAAAAAATCTGTTCGTAATACGAAATTAATTATTGTGTTGTCGTGTCATTTTATTTGATTTTTGAGTTTACCAACAAAGGTAGCATTGCGTGCGGGTGCCAATATTTAAAATTGACGTTATATCAGAAACTCAATACGTTATCGTGTTTACTTTTATTATACACGTATATACCTACAATATCACAATAAAGCGACTGTCTTTGCGGTCAACGGCCTACTGATAAAATATTATACACAGCAGCGAGTAATGCTACCAACCGTTATTCAAATCTAGCAAATTATATAATGACGTTCCCAGGTGAACTGCCACTAAAACCATTAAACGTTAAAAAAAGTAAATACTCTGCCATTATATCTACAACAGTAATAAAAAAAGAACAAAAGTGAATAAACTCATTTCTTTACAACCGACGAATAACCTACTGGTAGAACTTGGAAACTGGACTTAATAAATTAGCCGTGAATACGTTTTTTCTTCTATACGAGTTACGTGTTTTCTTGACGTCATTTTCAGATGACATATTGATGTCAGTTGCTATTCGTATAAAACTTATTTAACATCCCACGCAATCCATGATTATAAAACGGATATGTTTAACGATATTAGTATCAGTAGTTTTGTTAACATATTGCAAATAAAGGCCAAATAATGTTAGCTTTCGTGTTTTTGACTGCATATTATTGAATAATTGCGTAAACAAAAGTGACATCCAATGACAAATGATAGAATGACCTAATCTAAATAGGCCGGCATCAGTGCCAAATAATTCCCAATTCATGTAACATCTGTTCAGCACATTTGCGCGACAGTTTTGTGACTTTTTAAAAATAAATCTAATATCGCTTTGGGCAAAATACAAAACCACCTCAAGTTGTAAAATGTCAATAGAGAATTTAGCTTTGTGAAAAAAATAGCGGCGTCCATTAAACAAGCAAAACGTAATTATTTACCTTGAGAATACCATCCCTGTTACTCATAACACTTACTTGTTCTAAATTTACTATTCATAAAACGCTGCCTAAATATTGACAGATAATCACTAAACAAACCGTGATTGTATTAGGAGAAGAAAATACCTGTTACAATTTGTTCCTCGGGGGGTTTTTCCTCATTCCTCTTGAAAATAAAATCGCCCAACGCTCGAGAAAGTGCCAAATTGCCGTTAACCCTGTTATCAAAAACCCTGCCGCCTGCGGCGAGTATTCGATCGTATTCTTCTTTAACATAGGGCTTGTGGTCGAATGAAAGGGGTTCTGCTCTTCCTCCAACACTGGCAACAGCTCGCGAGTCACCCACATTCGCACAATATAAAAGGTTGTTTTTAATAATTATCGCCACTGCTGTAGAGCCTGATTGTTCATTTTTTAAAGATTCCTCATCAAGCATAACCCTGTCGATTTCAAGAAAAGCTTGTTTCATCCCTTCCTCGACATCTCCCTTTTTGTACTCCTCTCTGTTTGTAACGAACTTGTGAAGGTGTTTCCCGGCATACTCTGAGATTTTGGAACCCCCATGTCCATCATACACTGCAAAGAATGCAGTGTCTGGATCATCAGGTAATGACAAAATGTGCGTGTGTGAATCTTCCATGTTGATGCGCCATCCTTGCATAGAACTTGAGCCCACTTGGAAACTGGCGTTTTGGCAGCATGCAGTGTTCTTGGCAGTTACTGGTTCTGACAGAGTTTGACCCATAATAAAACACCTGGAATAAAAAAAAGTACTGAAAGTCGACGTTACACAAAACTGTTACGCTAAACGTTTTCTACGCAATTTATGATGATTTCACAGTGATTGTGTATGTGGTCTAAAAAACATCGCTTACAAAAAATAAAACACCCATTAATACGGGTTAGTGAAAAAAAAAAGATAATCGTACGCTTACTACTTACTCAAAACTGAATTCCGAACTTTTGATGGGTTTTATTTAGCATACTTGTGCTAAATATAAAAGCATATTTTGGTTAAAATAATTAACACGATTTTTGATTGTTGTGTGTCACGAGATTTAGCACGCAATATTTAGGTTAATTCAACGGACTCTTCGTAAAAAAGTTGACGTTTGACATTGAAGTGACATTTTAATGTAGTGACGCCAATAGTGGGAAACCAAATTCCCTTTTCAGATATCCTCTTCTAACAATTATTACATGCAAGTGATTGAAATAGTTGAAGAACAGTTACAGTGAATGTTTCGATTAAGCGTATTTCACTTGTCTAGTTAGTGTATGGATAGTATCGTTTTAACACATTTTCCACAATTTAGGGACGACGCGATTACGATTTCTAATGTTGGTATAATTGCAAGATGGCGTCCGAGAAACCCGGGAGCATTGAACAAGGTAAAGCATTTTTGTTAATTTGTTATTAAATTATTGCTTTGTTTCGTGAAAAAACGTTATTACACATGTCAATAACACTTACAAAATAACCGTATGTAAAAATTATACTCTCTAACTTTACACCAAATTCACATTTTGAACAGAGTATCTTATGTCAAACTGTCAAAACAAATTGATTTGTTGCATTTCTTAGAGCAAGACCAATCTTTAACCGAGCTGGAACAAACTTTACTGAGTATGGAAAATTTAGATAGAGCTTCCCCCGAAATATGGCCCGAAAAATGTAGGTAAGCTATTTTCTAATTAATAAGAAAACTGGAATGGTGTTTTCTAGACCCAGGTATGACAGATTTCATTAACAGTTTTACACCACCAAGTACAGTGAAGTTACCTTATTCTAGACAATTAAATCAAGAGGATCAGAATTACTTGCATCGTTAGTTTTACAGAATACTTAATTTTATGTGGGAGTTAATACATTTTTTTAGAATTAGCTGCACTTCCAACAGCAGGACTGATTTCAAAAGTCAAGGAATTACACGATATTGCTTACCAGTTGGGTCAAGAGGAATCAAAAGAAGTAACAAGGGGAAAATATTTAAATTTGTTTAAACCTCGAAGACAAAAATGATCTCAACAAATGAGGGTATTAATAGTGAAGGTACGCTGCCAGTTTATTGGCAATGAAGTATTTCATTAAACAGTTGATAAAATGAACAGTGGTATGTAATTTGTGGAGTTTACTTTATCGTTCTTTTATATAATGAATCTTACCAAATTTTGTTACACCTTTTAAATGTTGACGGAATGATTTCCTTTTATAAGATTGCATTTACTTAATTTTTATGTTATATTAGGACAGAAAGTGTAAAAAGTTTATGGTTGACGTGATTTAAGTACAAACTTTATATTTGTATAAAAATAAACAGTGAAATTTATAGATGTATTTCCTTATCCGACATATTTATTTTTATGATAGTGTTAACTGAAAAAATATTGCTTATTGCCTGCAAAAGTAATCCTTAATACAATTTCAAATCTCACCTGAAATATGTACGTTAGGAAGCAACTGATCGTATGTGTGTGTCTATGCAGCTTTATTTTTTCTGTTTTTGTTTAGCACTATATGTATCTGGTTGGTGGCGAATGTAACATTGACTATTTCATTGACCAAACTATACTAACATATCTTACTCTATTAGTAGAGTAAACTTACAATTTTTGGGTCCTAATAAAATTTTATTATTACTTGGACCCTATTAAATGAACAGTGCCTTAACAACTGAGGTGGTAGAAATCCTCCTCAAAGTGATAATAGCATACGCGTGACGTTTTGAAGTTTACCTGAATTACAGGATTGTACATAGGAAAATACTTGTTGGTTTTAAATGATGAGGGGTTGGAAATCTTTAACTTTAAAGTTGTAAAATTTTACAAGAACCTTAAAATAGTGACTGTCTATAAACAAGTGAAAATGACTGTATGGTATGGTGTGCCAAATCCTGTAGTGGTTTTACAATTTGAACTCCACCATCACTCTTATCAACTTTTAGAACCCTTTACAGTTTTGCAGTGCCACAAATCGTAAAACCTAATTAAAAGTTCATAGCGAAAGCTTCTTTGCATGCGAAAAGGTCAGTACCGGACTCAAAATATATCTAAACCTGGTTAAGCACATCTAAAAGAATGTTATATCAGGTGAGTTTCTACATTTCTGCTCTAGTTAGCCATGACGCTAACATCAGCCGTTTCAATTTCACTGCTGGCGTAAAGGTTACTGTTAGTTAAAGCAGAAATTTAAAAAAAATCACCCGGTATTATTTAGATGTTTTACCAATCCCGTTCTGCCAGACGTAGGTACGGAGTACGAAGCACGCATAAACGTTTTGACACATCCACAACGGGGTACCGACCAGAACGCTAAATCTTGTAGTCTTTTTCACTAATTTCTAGCCATTTTTTTTTTGCAATATTACAATTTAAGGTATTCCTTTAGTGGGCTATGTTAAGAGGATTTAAATTTTTGAAAAAATATAACCTATAAGATTTACAAAAACATTTAATTAAAAATTTGTTAACGTATTGTTAATTAATTCGAGTTAAAGCATTGGTAGTTTTGAGCTAATTTACTAGTTTTTATTCTTAATTAGCCGTTGTAATTATGGAAAGCAAATTAATTTAAGAGTGAGGGGTGGTGAGGGCGACGGGGAAACAGGAACCACCCACAGGGATTATTCAATTTTTTAGTTTGCAATGGTTTCAATGCGCTACACAGTGTGGAAACTACCTACTTGTGGAATAAACGCTAAAACAGGTCAATTTTTATTTTTGTACAGTCAATTCGGTATGTGACCTTGAATTTTGGAGGGTTCTCTATGAATGTAAAACTGGGTTTTTTAAATATAACAATTTTCTACAATTTTTATTAATACGTTCTTGACATACCTGACGTTAATATTAAAAAAGTTGCGAACTGAAAATATGAAAAACTGTTAGGGAATGAAAAACTTGTGTGGAGTTTTAGACGCATGCCATTATTTACATCTCGTTCTTTTTAACGGGTCAGCTTGTTTATCGTTACATTTGGTTTTGCATCGGCAAAAAACTAATCTGAGATTACATCAAAGTTTTTCTTCTCCTAATGTTCCATGTTTTTCTGCCCATGCCTTTTTTATTGTTAATGTTACACCAAAAAGTTGTAAATCAAAGTTATAGATAATTATAATATCTACAAAAATTCTCTTTACAAAGTTTTTGACACTTACGATGACGAATATAAATAAAAAAAAACTAATTGGACCCCTGTTCTTTTCGAGATAGCGGTCAAATGACAACACCCAAAAATTCAGTTTTACAATCACCACGGTTGCCCCTTTTTTGACGCCGAATTTACTGGACTATTTTATTAATTACGCTCTTTTTAAGTTTCTTCACTTGTCCTTGTTCATAACTGATAATGGCATCTCAAAGAATTTTGAAAAAACTTAACTGAATCTGCGGATTTTTTAGACTTAAACAAACTGGAAGTGTAAAAAAGTGCTAATATGACTAGTAAATTCTTTCATTTTAATCAAATACGCAGGCAAAATGAAACAAAACTGCTTTTCAAATAGCAAAAATAATAATTAATTACCGTTTCGGAACTGTTACGCAATCCTTTTAATCAACTGCAATCAACAAAATAACTGTTTAATTACATGTCTTCGTACTTCTTGTTGGCGCAATAAACGATGATATTCCAGAGCAAAGGAAGGAAAAAAATATATTACATAAATACCATTTAACTTTTTTTATTTCCGATTTTTTTTAATTTCAAAAAAATGTAAATAATAAATAATTTTCTGGCTAACGTCGTTTGCTAGTGCAAATTGCCGTAAAATTTGGTAAAATATTGGATTGGATTGTTCAGAAAAGCATAGTAGGTATATGAAATAATTTCAAGAGGCTCGAAAACAGATACTCCATTACTTAGGTACATAAAAACGTGTTTAGAAAACGAAGCGCAGAAAATGCTTCAAGAAAATATTATTTTACAAAAGTAAATAAAGCATATCAAAAGTAATAAATATTAGTTCGGGACCTTCCCGATAGGAGCGCCACTAAAATTTACGGAAGCGACTTTCCAGGTATAGCTTTGGAAATTTCATTGTACCCTATAAAATTTTATTGACGATAACGAGACAGACAGTAGTACAATTAATGGTAAGAAATATTTATGGCTCACACCAGTTCACCCGAATTTGTCTCAGAACATTTAGCAGGTAGTTGTACTCATAAAATAATGGTCATTTTCGTTTATGAGTAACGATGGTCCCTGTCTGGACCTGGATTATTCTGCTTTCTAACATCTGGGGATTACCAGCACGCGACAACTTAAGTTGTAAATATCTCTTGCTATTGTACTACTGTCCGTCTCGTTATTGCCAATAAAATTTTATAGGGTACAATGAAATTTCCAAAACTATAAAACCCTTTTCTCCAAATTTTCGCCCGGTCTACCGTAAGGTTAGGTGAATAATTAAACGCTGACTAAAATTTATCTGATCTTGAATGAACTTTTATAATAGTAAATGTTATTTAAATTTTATAAAATAACATACTTCTCCACTTGTAGTTGATGAATCCGTGTTGAGTTTTTACTCTAGGCATGCGTATCTTCGGAAAAAAATCAAAATTGTATAACGACGTTTTGCAATTTAACTTTGAAACTGCAAAACCGACTACTCTAAAATCTTGCAAACGTTTTACGGTTATCGTAAACATAGTATATTGTTAATAAAAATTTATTCGTTTATCCCCCCCTAAGAAATAAGCTGATGACGTCATTCCAAAATTCTACCGAATAAATTTAAAATGTGCAGAATATTAAGAGGCTGTACTTGTGGTGGTTTATCAATGCGTTAAAATTTTTTTGAGTTGTTTATACGATGTGAATGAAAAAAATATAGAATAAGGCGACATGTTTATTGCCCATCACATTTTCCTGAAAATTTAAGGATACAGTGCTATTATTAACACCATTACACCTATTCAAAGTGATGTACGTGTTCTTGCAAAATTGTTGAAAATGAAAACGTCATCGAAAAATGTTTATATGAAAAATTCACTACAGAAAAATATGCAAAAAATTAAATTCTCAGAGTTAAATTTGATATTTTTTCGAAGCTATATTTGTTCGTCTGTACTTTAGGGGCCAGGAAGGTTTTGTGAAAATAACCTTCGACCAATTTTTTCAATGTTATTACTGAACTTTTAAATATATCATCGGTCCTTCGTACACACACTAAATTTATTATTGCCAAAAATTGACGTTTCAGGTTTTCGAATTTTCTTTTATATTTTTCCACATATCTTAATGTGAACACATTATTATAATACCTCACTAACTAAAAATTTAGAAAAAAGAAATTAATAAAAGATATAGGAAATAATTGTCAAACCCGTGGTTCTAAAATGTTTTGAGGTATATTAAAATAGTTCTGCGTGCAAAATAGTTTAAATCACAACTTTTAAATCGTTATTTTTGCGCAAATATTTAACTGAACTTTTAAAAGTTTGAAGAACTGAAGCTACGCTCGATTGAAAGTTATTTTAGTGAAAATTGTTCGCCTCGAAGTCACACTTGTAGCGTGACCGTGGTCGAAGTGGTTCGATTTTAAAAGACAACTACAGCCTGTTTTTTATGAGCGAGTGGCAAATCGTAGTCTGACTAAAGTAACTGAAAGTCAACTACAGACTTAAAACTAAAAAAAGAAAATATTTATATTATTTGTCTACCTTACTGTTAATGTTACTGCTACGTTAATTTTTATGTAGAGTTTCCACATACTTCGTATACAATTTTTTGTTCATGATGTTCAAAAATATAAAACATACTGAACAAAAAAAAATGCTAAACGTGAAGCAGTAAGTTAATATAAGGCCCTATCTTTTTAATGCATACTTGAAAAGAAGATAAGTGGAGACATAGCAATTAAAAATATTATTACATTTTAAAAACTAGACTCCTTAGACACGTCATACAACAGATTAATAGATTTCACAAGAACTACGTTGTAAAAAAAAATTTTAAAATCTTTGACAGGGTCCGTCGAAATAATTAGCTCATACATCTCTATTTCCTAAAAAATTTTGAGCACATTTTAAGAAAAAATAGAAAAGGCCGTATTAATGTTTTAGTGCAATTTTTTAATTTTTTTGGTTTTGTCATTATAACTTCTATTTACGACAGAAAAGAGCTTATAGTTTATTTTTTTTACATCAGCCAAAAAACTTTTTTTTTAGAATTAATTATTATAAGGGATGCCTTGAAAAAATTAATGAATGAGTCAGTTTATCTTATTTATGAAATCAGGAATTACAAAACCAAATACGTTGAAATCTTGCGGATCTTTTACAGTTATTGTAAGGATTATCTGCGCCTGTTCAAATTGATATACGTCTCTTTGTAAAAAACTTGATTACAAAATTTTGTAAACGAAAAACTCATTTGAAACATAAACTTCTATACTAGTACTTTAATAATAATAATCCATATACAAGTTTATTGTAACTTATAATAAGAGTTCTTACAAAAAATTAAATTCGTAAAATAAAATTTTATAATTTTTCGAAAAAGCTGGAGATCTTTATTGTACTTCAGGGGCGAGGCCAATTCTGTCGAAATAACCTTCGACCAATTTTTTGAATCTGGTAATACTGGTTGCCTTCTTTATTTCTTCAGGTAGTTTGTTTTATACTTACTGAATGTATTTTTTAAGCGATCGTTTGCCTGAACTTCCTGTTTCACATTTGAAGAGTTGGTAAAACTTCACTGATGTTTTCAGACTATAAAGAATGAAAGAACTTTTTTGTTTTTGTATATTTGGTGATGCGAAAAATGCATTACCAATAAAATAAATGAGTTAATAACAAGCAGCGAGCATTTGTGCTGTTTAAAATATAATTGTTTGATTTTTCGACACAAGTTGACAAATTTACTATAAGAAATTAACGAATTTCGTAACATTAATTACTACATTTTATTTACTTAAATTAATGTCAATAAAACGTTCCAGCTAATAATTACAACACAATTTATTTGTTATATCTGCAATCGTTGCCTAAACCGGTTGCTCAAAAAGTAACTTGCTAAATTTCTTTCATTCGAATAAACATAAAATTAAATCAATACCTACGCTTAATCTCAGTTATTTTAGATGTGTATCACTCTCAACAGTAGTTTTGAGGAATATGTGAGATCATTTTAGCCGCAATTTTTTGAAGCCTACAAGAAAAAAAATCATTGAAAAAATAAATCATTATTTAAAAAATGTCACCTATAGGGTTATTTGCGATTACCAGTTATTACTAGCTCACAAAAATTTTCTGTATTTTTCTAATATCTTTGTCACTGATTTGTTATTCAGGTATTTGTTCTTTTCATTTAAACCGTTTTATCAGTGTGCATTAAGGCAAAAGTATGCGAATACCTTGCATACTTCTCTCATTCAGATACGATAGACAAAGAGAGAGATGGCCAGGTAAGTACGTTGTGGTGGGGGACACATTCACCTGACTTTAGCCGCTGTGAGAACTTCAGCAAACAAGTTTAGTTTTGTGAAGTGAATCCTCGTGTTGTGAATTTTTACCGGTTCATATCATAGTGCGAAAAAAATCGATTTAAACAACTATTTTTTTCATAATACCCAAGCTTATCTTGTGTTTCTTATCATCAGATAAACTTATCAGTGACGCACAGGTATGTTTCATGTTATTTATGTAATTTTGGTTTAAAGTTTTTGAACTGATTTCTTATAAAGCGCCTATTATAAATCTCGTCAGAATATTTTCTCGTGTGCCATTTTACGTTTTGTCAGGTTTAGTGAGTGTTTAATTACAGACAATTAATTGGTTAGAATTTGCTAATAACTTTTGGAATATTAACAATTAAAATATGTTCCCACGTTCATTTTTCCGTATAATGGATTAATTAAATCGCTTTTGTCTGTATGTGTTTTTTTTTTCTTAAAATATATTTGTTTTTCTTTAATGTGACATGTTTACCTTTGTGCGGCCACGTGTGATTTTTATGGCATTGGTCCAAAATTCCTCATTACTCATTGATATCAACTTTACATTCACCACCGCGTTGCATTTCCTGAACTACTATCACGTTATTTGAGTACCTACTTACCATTTGTTGATCTAAAGAATGCACCCACGGTAAAGCAAAAGTTCTGAATTTTTTTTTTTCAAGAAATTATAGAGTTGTTCTGTCCATTTTCTGAATATATAACTTGAGTATTTATGTTTTTAAACTGTTTTCTGTTACTTAATTAGTTGTAGTTCTTAATGTAGACTAATAACAGCTATTGTTATTCAAGATTATTATAGATCTGGCTACGATAAGTTTAACTTTGCTCCTACACACTGAAAAGAATTGAAAGCGACCTTAAAACGTATTTGTGCGATAGCTGTTTCATATATTAAATTTTGATTAAATGTATTCTTATCTACATTTTTCTTTATTATTCAATTGAATACTAAGTGTCCCTGGTTTTGTAAAATAATTTCGGCTAGTATGAAAATTTACAAAAAAACAGCTGAATAGTAAATAAATTATACATACAGCGCTCTTCTCTTCCGTATGACTTGTCTACAAAAAAAAGTTATAAGATTTAAATTTGAATAATTTTGTTAAGATTTTCGCTTTCTACCTGCTGTTTTGCATGCTTGGTTACAAATTATAGTGTTATTATTCAAATCCGAAATGCATAATAAAATAAGTAATAACTGTTGTGCAGGTTCGGGATTTCCGATTCTTAGAAATCACAACTTTGTTAATTTAGTTGTAAAGTAAAGTTGGGGAAACGCATAGGTTAAACAAAAATATTAGCTTAATTACAATTTTCTATAACAATAACAGCAAAGTCCTTGGAAGTTAACTGATAAGCAGTTGTACTATATAGGTAGTGTTTTACACTGTGATAACTTGAAATGTAAATTATTTATGACAGAGAGATAATATACCCCATTATTTTAAATTTTACATGTTTTCTTAACTGTCACATACTTTGTTGGTTTAAAAAATTATACGATCGTTGATTATGTGCAATTATAAAAAAAAAAAACGTTTTTGGGAGAATGTTAAGAGAGAGTCGCCTTATAACAGATGGCGTTACTTCTTGTAAAGAAGTGCTGTAATGAAAGTAGTTTAAGTAAACGTTTCGTTCAATGGACGTCTTTCTTATTGTTTTTATAGATACGTATAATATATCTACTCTTTTTAAAACAGTTGCTAACATTAACCTCCCAAATTGTATAGCAAAAATGAAAATATCTATGTACAAATTAGTGAGATTTTCTGATACGTTGACTTGAGACCATACCTTGATACAAGCGTAGTACTAATAATTGACGAAACCCATTTGCTTATGTGAGTTATATTTAAAACATTTTTAATTTCTGAATTGTTATTGGTTATAATAATTTACACGATTTTGTTTTTCAGAAAAAAAGCATTTCAACTGTAAATATTTCACACTTGTTTTGTAACAAGCATTTTATAAAATGAGGTTGATAGTTTTTAAAATTAGTCTACTACGTACTTGCTAAGGATTTACAACATCGTTGTGTTTAATTTACCTTTTAGTTTTATGTGAATTGGATTTTCAAAAAAGACAAAAAAGGAAACTTGTAATTTCCTAAATTAATGAAGTTATGTAATTTTCTAATCAAATGGTGTTATTACACTTTAAGAAAAGGTCAGAAACTAATTTTGCTAATTAAAAACAAAATTGGTGATGTGCACATTATTCACACATTGATGCGTAGCGATAATAAAAGAATGCACAAAATTGGGAAAATCTTTATAAAATACAAAACACCAAAATGTAAAAACAGCCCTCTGGGGCAAATTAAAAGCTCAGTGTTTTAGTTAGATTTCTCGTATAATGTAGCTACCATGAAAATAAAAGTATATGGTTGAGCGTATTTCATAAATAATGGCAACACAAAAACTATATTGCACAGAAAGAAAATCAACTGTTGAAAAAGGTTATACCAAATTTTTAAAATAGACAAGTGTAATAGTTTTTACCGATTGTATATATTTTTTTTTATTTGTGCTTATTTACTGAAATAAGTATAATTATTTTTAAAATGACAGCTTTCCCGGTTTTGCCACTATTTCAAACACCATTTACGTATTTATGTTTTACCAAAAAACTCAATGAAATTACAGTCTTACAAACAATAAATGTTGGTCGTCATTATCACCTCTTGAACACAATGGTAAGTGTTCGAGTGGCACTGACGACCAAAATGTGTCGCTGGCGACTGTTGGTATAGTAGTCCAGAAGCTATATGGTTATATGGCCATCATAAAATTATCCCATTGTGTCGAAGTTAAGTTGTTTGCAATAGAAAAGGTTTTGGGGTAGTAAATAATGTGTCCACTGCAGCTCGACCGGCTGTTGTCGTTTCGTTCAGGGGCGGCTCTCACTAAATATCTAAACTCATCACTCCCTTAATCGGCTACTACCTGCAGCTGCAGAGGGTTCCGAAATAACCAGTCGTTTTGAAAGCCGATCCTGTTAAATGTGAGCAAGAAATGTTTAGAACACGATTTATTGCCATATAGCTTTTGGGCTACTTTATATAGAATACCTATAGCCTATAACTCACTTGTTTCAGGGCATCTTTTCAGTGTAGATTTATTTAATAATAAAAAAATAACCTTGAACTTGTTGATAAATGTATGATTTATGACAATACAGATAATCTCGTTACCTATTTATGTTCCCGAAATGTCAAAGAAATTAGGTGAATTTTCCTGAGAGATTTGGTGAAACCAGTTTTTATTTTTTTAGTCATTCTGTGCAACTTTAACAATGAAAGAACATTACAACAGCATAAGCAATACCTCATCCCTTTTTTTAAATATACATATATACATTTTTTTTTTGAGTGATATCCTTAAGCAGTGACTATATATATAGTTACTGCCTTAAGTTTTTAAAGCGAAATGTAAATATGTTTATCATAATATTCCTGTGCGTCCAGAATTTTAGAGGAATTAAATAAAAGAACTGCATCTGAAATAATCGTAATTCGTAAAATATGATTTATGATGATCAAATAATAAATTTCAACGGAACTCTTTTGAAATATTTCCAATAATAATCAGACAGACAGATTGACAGATCGAAATATGAACTCATCACTGTAGTTTTCTGCAAGCTATGATACATCAGAAAAACACGAAATGAGTCATGCGACAACCCTATTACATTTACTTTATATGTTTCAGTAGGAAATATGTATAGAAAAACATCTACCAACAAATTTATTGTTCATTTTTCGAATATACGTATATAAAATATACATTGTATACTAATGTATAAAAATATGGAATATTTTGTGCCATCATAATTACTTGAAATTAATAAACGAGAGTTACTAACTAAAGTTAGTGCATGATGAAAAAAATTATCCGGTGATGATTCCTTCTAAAGTTCAAGTCTTTTGTAGGTTATACAAATGTGGAGGTTAATTTTAAAAATTTATGAAAATTTCAAAATATTCCATATTTTTAAAGTCGATGAGTGTATATGAATTAATTACTTTTTTTAATAAAAAATAATTAAACGGTAGTCGTAACTTTTAATTTAAGGTTAAAGTTTATTTATTTTAATAAAGATAAGGTTAGTTCATAATATGTACCTTTGTTTTTTCAGTAGTAAATATTTAAGTGACGACCGAATTCTTGTTTTATCTGTGTAGAAAAATTCAAACTATTTTTTTTACGTTAGAAAAATTGTTCAACACAATAGGTATAAACAAATCCCGATAAAGAGATTATTTTTCATTAGCATTAACTTTTATCGCCAAAATTCACTCTCAAGTATTTATTGTAATTTGAATTGAATTGTTTGGAATAAAATGGATTTATGCCCACATGCTTATTAAAGTTGCTACACGATTTTATGACAACGTGACCTCCATACATACCAATCGAAGACGACTGACGTCCACGAACAATTAATAATCTGATCACAGCAATTCATTATGGTATTCACTTTTCTTAAACAAAGGAAGGTGGAAGTACAGCTGCATTTTTAAATGGAAATTATCGAAAGTACGAATGATATTAGTAAAGCAGGCCTTTGCAAAGAATGTGGCCAGTTCAGTCGTGACTATCGTACCGATTGAACATGCTTTTCAGTTCAATAGTTTTCTGTCCTTCAAACAACTATCGATATCACGGTTTGAAAAAAGAAAAGGTGGAGATATTTAGAAAGGATTAATATTGTCATTCTGCCACTGGGTGGTCGTCAAGAGCACTCACTGCTCGCCTTTCTTTCAGTCGCCACCCATATGTCTAGATTAGCGCGTAATAATGCCTAATAATGGGTGTGTTATGATGACTGCCGAAATGTCGAAGATAACCAGGTGGGAAACGATAGAATCAGTTGTCTCCACACATCCGCAAGAGCAAGGCTGGTGATGGTAT